AAATGCAATGTGCTCATAGCATCTTCTGGAAGTGTTCTTTGAGTTATCTGATTTGGTTTGGCAGAACCAATCATTGAATTTGGAAGATGAATGTGCTCATAGCATCTTCTGGAAGTGTTCTTTGAGTTATCTGATCTGGTTTGGCAGAACCAATCATTGAATTTGGAAGATGAATTTGCTAATAGCATCTTCTGGAAGTGTTCTTTGAGTTATCTGATCTGGTTTGGCAGAACCAATCATTGAATTTGGAAGATGAATGTGCTCATAGCATCTTCTGGAAGTGTTCTTTGAGTTATCTGATCTGGTTTGGCAGAACCAATCATTAAATTTGGAAGATGAATTTGCTAATAGCATCTTCTGGAAGTGTTCTTTGAGTTATCTGATCTGGTTTGGCAGAACCAATCATTGAATTTGGAAGATGAATTTGCTCATAGTAGAAATAAGGAAACTCAATAGCATCTTCTGGAAGTGTTCTTTGAGTTATCTGATCTGATTTGGTAGGAACTACAGAACCAATAATTGGAATTAAAAGATGAACTGCATGATCGTCTTCATTAAGAAGCTTCTTTTCAAGCTTCTTTTGCTTATTCCTTTCCCAAAAATCATAGCCCAAGTTTCGCCTTTTTTTGTAATTGGGATCATCACATAATGGCTTCCCATCTTTTACCGGAAGAAGTGCGTCAGCATCTTTAGTCATTTGAGCAGCACACATAAAATCTATCAATGTTGCAATTGATGAATCTGGACCACATTTCTCCAGGGCTATTGAAGTTTCAGCCTCTGAGAATCCCATTTTTGTCAAGTATAACAGTTTATTCTCCTCATCAGAATCAGAATTCAAGATTTCTCGATATTAAAAGAACTATCGATATCTGTGAAATCATCTGAAAAGGTCACTTCATAATCAGATGAGTTGTTATCAGAACCAACATGTCGGATGAAGGCAAGTTTTTCAAGAGCCTATACTATTGAGTTTTATTCTCAAGATGTTTTGTGACATTATATCTACATCTAGATTTGTCAAAGATGATAGATTCTCTAATTTGAAGAAGAAAGATTTATTGGGTTTCTACAATTGAAGAAATACTCAATTCACCAATCTGAAATCAAATAACTTAACATTCATGCATCATATTTAGGTGTTTGCAAAAATAGGTGCATTTTCATTCATTTTCATCCATACTGAATTTTTAACAGGAATTCCAAAGATTGTTAGCAAAGATTTAAATCCATCATTTGATGGATCAGCTTTTCCAGAGAAAGTTCATAAAGAGAAGAACTCATCTGAAGAAGGAAGAATAAGTTCATAATGAGAAGAATTTGTTCAACCTTTTGTTTAAATTCATCATATGATGGATTATCTTTTCCAGTTCGAGTTCATAATGAGAAGAACTCATCTGAAGAAGGATGAAGAAGTTCATAATGAGAAGAATTTGTTCAACCTTTTGCTCAAATCTATCACTTGATGGATTATCTTTGCCAGAGAAAGTTCATAATGAGAAGAACTCATCTGAAGAATGAAGAAGAAATTCATAATGAGAAGAATTTGTTCAACCTTTCGCTCAAATCTATCACTTGATGGATTAGATTTGCTAGAGAAAGTTCATAATGAGAAGAACTCATCTGAAGAAGGAAGAATAAATTCATAATGAGAAGAATTTGTTCAACCTTTCGCTCAAATCCATCACTTGATGGATTAGATTTGCCAGAGAAAGTTCATAAGGAGAAGAACTCATCTGAAGAGGAAGAAGAAGTTCATAATGAGAAGAATTTGTTCAACCTTTCGCTCAAATCTATCACTTGATGGATTAAAATTTCCAGAGAAAGTTCATAATAAGAAGAACTCATCTGAAGAAGAGGAAGTTCATAATAAGAAGAGCTTATTCAACCTTTTGACTCTGTCACAGAAGGAAAGAGGTCAACATCATCCCCAGTGGAAAGTTCATAATAAGAAGAACTCATATGAAGAAAGAGAAGAATTTATTCAACATCTCCATCATAATCAAGTGAAGCCAAATGGATAAAAAAAAATTTATTATCTTTTCATCTTTGCCCTATTCATGTTAACACAAGAATGAGCAAAGAGGGGCAACTGAAGATACTAATTTTTTTTACCCATATTGATTTATTTATTATTATTATAATTATAATAATTATTATTATTATTATAATTATAATAATAATTATTATTATTATAATTATTATAAATATTATTATTATTATTATTAAATATATATATAAATAATAATAAAAAATTACAAGCCCAATTTTCTGGCCCAAACCAAACTGAAACCCAAAACATTTAAGGTTTCAGTTAGGGTTTTCTAACCCTAGCCCCATGTCCAGCCGCCTCTGCCTCCAGCCGCCTCTGCCTCCAGCCGCCTCAGCCAACGGTCCAGCTTCCAGCCGCTTCTGCTGCCAGTGCCACGCCTCCATCGAAGCCTCCAGAAGACCCAGATGGCCACCCACGTTGCTACTCTAGCAGTGAGTCACCACATAGTTCGGTGACTCACCGAAATCCACTCTTCGGACCGGTCCGATGGCCACACCGGTGATGGCTATAAAGCCATCACCCCATCTGCGAGCAAAAAAAAAACAGGAGGAGAGACAGAAAATACACAGAGAGAGACAGAGAAACAAGATACTAAAAAAAAAAAGCTACCAACGATCTCAACAACAACGCAGCAAAGAAACAAAAAAGAAAGAAAAAGGAAGAAGAGAAACTTACCGAGGAAGCCCCGACCACCGGATCTCATCAAAACCTTCGAAAAACCGAAGGTATATTTCTTAGATTTGCTCCGATCGGGAGCTGTTTAAAAGAAAAGATCATCGGAACCGTCATTAGGACGGTCCGATCTACGTTTCAATGTAAAAAAAAAATATTCCGGCCACCGAAGACGGTGGCCGGCGGCGGGATCCACGCCAGCAAGCGGTTGCCGGCCGGAGAGCTTCTCTCTTTTCTAGAGAGAAGTGAGAGAAAAATTCTCTCTCTCAGAGAAGAGAGAGAGAGGAAAAATAAAGAAATGAAGCTGGCCCTTCGGGCCAGCCGGGTTTGGGCATTAAATAGCCTTCCCGAACGATGTCATTTCGGGAAGGACTATGCGTGTAATTAAATAATAGTTAAACCCCGTCCGAAGCCATTCCAATTTGTAATTTTTACATTCTAGTCACTAAATCGAGTTTATAATACTTTTAATTCAGATCTTTAATTTTAATTTCATTTATTTTAGTCCTTTATATTAAAATAATATATTTAGGATAAATAACAAATTTAATCCCTTAATTTTAATAAATAATATTTTAATCCCTAGTTTATATTTTTAATTTATTTTAATCTTATATTCGAATTTTAAATAAGTTTATTTTAGTCACTAAATTATTAAATAAGAAAATAGCATGTTCAATCCCTGTAATTCTGATTAATTAGAATTAGGTTTTAATTTTAATTTTACTATAATTTAGTCCTTTATTTTAAGTATTTTTATTTATTGCTTTTAAATATATGGCTATAATTGTATTTTTTTTAATTTTACTTGTTTATATATTTAAATATTTTTATAAATATATAATAAATAAATATTTATTTTAAATAAATATCGAAGAAAATGACAGTCTTAATACAACTGGATGTCCTATTCTGATATTTTAAAATTAAAAATTATAAAAAATATTATTTAATTTAAATTAATATTTATCAATATCAAAGAAAAGAGCTATCTTAAGGCACCTAGAAGTCCTTTTCCGATATTTTTAAATATTTTTTTTATATAATTTTGAAATAATAGGATTATAAATTAAATATATTTTGAATTTTATTTTGAATTTTTAATAATAGAGACAATTTATAATTAAAAAGTACCAATATTGGGCGTTGTAGGGGTGCTAATCCTTCCCTAAACGTAATCGACCACGAATCCCTTTTTATTATCAAAAAGAACGAATTTTTGGTTACAAACGCATATCAGTTCATTTTTTTATTGGTGTTTTCTTAAAACTCTTTTAAAAAAAATAATTTTTTAGGTATTCGACCTACCTGACCCAAAAGGCCGACGGCGACTCCCAAATTATTTCCAAAACCATTTATTCACATAAATTTTCCAGCCAATATAATATTTCGTGCCCGGACGAAAACCGGTTACGACAATGATTAAAAATTATCAGTTGATATTTCTCGTCTTTCCTAAATTGCAAGAAATTTATATACATCAAATTTTAAAAGCGAAAAAGCTAAGACAAAATTTTAAATTAGCCAAAATCTCTGAAGAGATTAGTACAAGTGACAAGATCCAAAAGCAAGAAAAAGATCTAAAAGCCAATATAACTAAATATTCAAGTCGAACGGTACAAGAGAATCTTGATCGAGGCTCCAAACACTAGATGGAGGAGGAGTATTCTTGCCACATTATGCCAGTTACAACTAGCCATCAACATGAATCATGTCATACTAACACGGAGAATCCTTTTTCAAGCCATAACTCTGATGATAGAACTGGCATGGCAACTGAATTGTTCAAAACATGAACCTTTCTTCTTCACTGTTTCTTTGTCTCGAGTGCTTGGAGACTAGTTACATCCTTAATACTTAGATCTTTGATTCACTCTGATATATCGATTTTCTATGTGGTTGTGCGAGGGGCATAGGTCCAAGATGCGATTGGATTATGTATTCTCTGTGGCTTATTCTTCTTATATATGCTGTTATCATCCTGCAATCGCCCGCTTATGATTATTTATCTTATGGAATTTGGGTCTTATTTTAGTTGTTTAAATGTCTATTATGAAGTGTTGTTTTAATATTCAAATATATATATATATATATATATATACATATACAGAAAATGATGTGTTAATGGTAATGTATAAATTGATTTTAATATTTTGCTAAGTATGAGAAGGTTGAAGTTATATACTGATCATGAACAAGGTTTAATTATATAGATTGATTATCCTGCAAGGTTCTTTTTATTAATAACAAACAATGCAGACGCAATACAAACAATGACAAATTAAAATAATAGACAGCAGATGGACTTCACCACAAGCTTGGAGGAGATTTGGTCCATCTGTGCACCTTGGATACCTACAATTTCAAAAAAAAAAAAAAACAATGAAATTTATTATTCTTCTATTGTCTGAACACAATATTTATCTTAAAAATAATGGAAGTATACCTCTAGTGAAGATGTTATTACCTGTTGATGGAGCAGCTTATCTAAGTTTATACGGTGCGGTGTAATCGAGTTGGAAGAAGCTCGTCTCTAACGGAGCAAAGCTTGGTAACAACATCATGCATGTCCATCCGCTCACTTGGTGATTCAGAAGAGCAATTGAGTCCTATTTCGAATATGGAATTCAAGCACCGAAAATGTCTTTTATTTCCTGTGTTGGTTCCATTGAGAGAAATGCCTACAATTGTTCCTCGTTCATCTCTTTCGTGAAGAAGAATGGGGTCTATAATCTCCATAATTCTTCCAGGCCAAGCTGTCTCAACAAACTTGTGAAGACACAAACCTTCTTCAAACGTTGCATCGGTTGGCCTTTTTCCCGTAAACATCTCTAACAAGAGGATGCCATAGCTATACACATCACCTTTTGTTGACAATTTGCTTCCCATGCCATATTCTACAATGTATTCATCACAAATTATATATAAAAACAATTGCAGATAAAACCATCTAAATATACAAAAAAATGTATTTAGATCATATGTTTTGCTTTTAAATAATGGAAGAAATGAATAAAGTGAACCTACCTGGTGGTGCATAACCGATTGTTCCTCTTAATTCAAGGGAGCTTGACTTGTTAGCAGAATAGTTAAGCTTGTTCGTAGAAAGGACTTTTGCTAATCCAAAGTCACTTAGATGGCCAACCATTTCCTCATCGAGTAGAATATTGCTTGGCTTAAGATCACAATGAATGATTGGTGCTTCACAATGATGGTGAAGATAATCCAAGGCATGAGCAACATTTATGGCCACATTAACTCTTTGGGAGAAGTTCAGGTTTCTCGTTGTCTCTGGTTCATTCATGTTGACGGATAGATGCAGCCAGTTATCCAAGTTTCCATTTACCATGAACTCATAAACCAAGGCTTTAAAATCATTGCCTTGATAATCGACACCTGAGACGGTAGTTAATATCTTGACAAGATTTCGATGTCGAATGTTCTTCAGGGCCTCACATTCAGCCAAGAAACTCTTGGAAGCTCCATGGTTTAGAAGGTTAAGCACCTTTACCGCAATAACTGCACCACTATCTTCAAGAATTCCTCGGTAAACAGAACCAAAACTTCCTGAACCAATCAGATTCTGCGTGGAAAATCCATTGGTAGCCCTTAGAATGCTTCGGTATGATAACTGTAAGAGCACATTTTCTACACAAGTTGTTTTTGGTTGCTGCTCTTTCTTCTTTCTAAACCACAAGATGAGGAGAAAAGAGAAAACCAAAATCACTCCTAAGATCACAACAACAACAAGTGTAGTTTTTAATCTGAGAGAAGGATTTGAAGATGTTTTCGAGTTACATCTAGACAAGTGTAACTCATGAATCCCTCCACAAAGCTTAATGTTTCCCTCGACGAATGTAGCAGTTGCCTTCTTAAAGACTCCTTCACTAGGTATCTCTCCCTCAAAATCATTGAAAGAGAGATTTAAATACTTCAATGAACCAAAGCTCACAAGAAATTTGGAACCTCACCTGAAAGACTATTGTTAGACACATCCAATACCTCAAGACCTCTCAATGAGCTTAAGATGAAGGAATGGGTCCTTCAAACAAATTGGCTTGAAGGGATAGGTACTCAAGACTTACACAACTACCAAGAGTGTTGGGAAGCAAACCGGATAACCTGTTGTGAGAAACATCCAATGTACCTATATTTTCAATTTTTCTACTTCAACAGGAAGCTCACCAGTCAAATTGTTTGATGATAAGTCTAGTGCAATGGACAAGGATGGGATAAGTACCTCAGGGGGTATTGGTCCACTAAGATTGTTATGAGAAATATTCATTGCAACCAAATTTCGACACTTACCTAGACTTGAAGGAATGCTTCCTTGAAGATTGGTAGAATCTATAGCAAGTTTGGTTAACACTACTAAATTTCCAATAGAATAGGGAATAGTCCCGGTTAGAAGATTATTATCGGCGAAAAGTATCTTTAGCTTCCCAAGTCTCCCAATAACATGGGGAATATGACCTGATAGTTGATTTTGAGATGCCACGAGAACTTCCAAATTCATGAGATTTCCAATGCCCTTTGGAATTCCTCCCCATATTTTGTTCTCAGATATATCTAAATTCAAAAGGGTGGTAGAAAAATTGCTGATGCATTGGGGAAATGCACCTCCGAAATTATTTTGGCTTATAGCTAGAGTTTCTAGTTTGGTATTATTAACTAAAGTGCAAAGAAAGTGCAAGTCACCTTCTCTCCCCACTCCCAAGTGATTTGTGTTTAGGCAAAGCCTAAACAGATTATCCAGTTTTTCCAATGATGGCACGTTTCCATTAAGGCTATTATCCTGAAATTGAAGTACTTTTAGATTTGAAGCATTGGATATTGAGATGGGGATTTTTCCAGAGAATTGGTTTCCCTGTACAGAAAAGAACTCAAGATATGGCATTGTGATTGCCAAGTCAGAAGGAAGTGTACCTTGAATCTTGTTTCCACCAACATCGAAGTCTCTAATATTTGAGAGATTGAACATTGTGAGTGGAATAACGCCAGATATTGCATTTCCGGCTATGGAGAAAACTGAAAGATTTTTCAGTTGCCCCAAAGCTTCAGGTATAGTCCCACTTAATCCATTTATCAACAAGCTAAGTACCTGTAGGGATGACAAGTTCCCCAAAGAAGGTGGGATGCTCCCTCTCAAACTGTTGTTGTGCAAAATCAAGAATTTCAGGTTTGACAAGAGACCAAGCGAGGCAGGTATTTCTCCTGTCAGCTGGTTGCTTCTCATATCAACTGATGTAAGCTTAGAACAAGCAGATAAATTGGAAGGAATTTCACCACTGATGGAGTTATTCACCAGATTTAAACTTTCCAGTCTTCTTAAACGACCAAACTCTTGAGGAATCTGGTTGCTGAAGCTGTTTCCCGCAAGGTTGAACTTTCTGAGAAAGCTCAAATTTCCAATGTATGGTGATAAAGATCCCGAGAGTTTGAGGAGTTTGAGTTCTAACTTGGTGACTCTCTGATGCTTGTGACCGCATGTAACACCATACCAATGACAGAAATGAATGGAACTATTCCAACACTCCATAACCCTGAGCTGATCATCTGTTATCTTGGCTTTGAACTGTAGTAAAGCCTGATGATCAGATTCATTTCCTCTAACTACATGGGTTGCTGTTGCTAAACCAAGACCCTGCAATTTGAAGCATGAGAGGAGAATTATAAGGAAAGAGAGGTGGATGCTACCATATGAGTTTTTGATAGCTCCATCAACTTGAATCATTGAGACTGATTCGTATTTGAGAATACTTTGCTCATCAACAAGAACTAGAGTGCAATTTATATAGTTTTTGAACTCTGATATTATCCTGTTAATTGGTTCAAAACTTCAAATTTGAAAGTCAATCGGCTACTATTTTTCTAGGTCCCTGCTTTAGTTAGGTGAGTCTACTTGGGGTTGGTTTTTTCCCCATAACTGTGTCATGATTGCCGCATTTTGCCACCACTTTCTGCATTTCACATTTATCAATGTATATATTCAGAAAACATTCATTTCTTATATGCGGAAATGATAGAGGGGAGACTTCAAAGTAAACGCTGGATTTCTTTGTGGACCAACTCTTGCACTATGTTAACGGCACAAGAGATTGAACTGATAGGTAGTAATTATTGTGAAAGCTTGCCACTTGGAATATGGGTTGGTAGTGCAAGTTGAAGAAACGGCTATCCCAAGTCTTGCACTATAAAAATGTTAATTCTAGAATCCAACCGGTTAATATAAGATTAAAAAAAGGTTGTAACTAAAAACCTTATCAAGAGCATAACTTGTTAGGGTAATTTGGGTAACATTTTAGGTTGAAACAGAAAATATCTCGTTCTCCCCCAATAAATCATATAAATTACATAACTATTCAAATTGCAACAAAAAAAATCATTGCTTAGACATTCTTGGTTGTTACCGAAATTATTATCATTGTATAACATTTAGAGTTGAAAAACAACATTTTAGGTTAAAACCCATTATAATGTAACATTGTTTTCACTAAATACTTCTCCCCCCACTTGTATATTTGTTTCACTTTACTATTTTGGAAGTTGCCTGAAAATGTAAGCCGAGGCATTCAGTCGGTCAATGGTTGTGGAAGTCTTCTAATTGGACAAAGATAAATGCCTAACATTTTGTTATCTTCTTGGAAAGTCAGACCAAATTGTATCATTTGGCATATTTGTCACTTTATCTATGGAATTATTGAGTGCACAGATTCCTACTTCTTAATTGTATATGACATACGATCATTCTTCTTTCCTACTGTGAGTATAATAAAGCTTGTCTCTCAAGTATACGAGGAAACTAGAACTTTCAATTGCTACAATAATATATTCTGTGGTTCCTTTTTCTTTGAAGTGAATTTCAAAAACTGAGAATGTCCTCTATCAAATATCGCATGGGTTCGTAACTCGGTGAATCTAGACACTAATCATTATAAGTTTAAGAAACGTTTCTGTAGTTCCCCAAATTTTGGCTAGTGATTAAAATATAAGTTTTAAAAGTTTAATGACTAAAGTCTAAACTTGTAAGAGTTCAGGGACTTAAAATGTAATTTTAAAAATTATATATTTTAGCCCAATGAGCAATTTGGCTTAAAACATGAATTTTCATAGGAATTAGATTTTCGATACGGGATTAGTGTTAAAAGTTATAAAGCGATAAAGTTTGGTAGTGAAATCGGATAATCGGATCGAACCGGAATTTTACGAAAAATTGAAGTATGTTAGAAAATGATTGGAAATATTATTCCCATATTTTAGATAATAGAAATTTAACTCATATGAGTGTAATTTTTCAGATTTGTTATGACAGTGGAATTTTAGTGATTAAATTGCAATTTTTGAAAATTGCATGGCCAAAGTGAAAAGTCAAAGTCAAGTTGATTTATCTTTGACCAAAGAATATTTTAATGGAGAATAAGGCAATGACATTTGATAATTATCAAGGTTCATTAATGGTAAAAATAGAATTTCTTACGAATTGAATTTTTAATTCAATTAAATTGGTTTAGTATCAAGTGTATTAATTATTAAATACTAGAATAATCAATATAATCAACTTATTTTCAACCATTTTCTTTCATTTGGCCGAATCCACCAAGCTCACCAAGGTAAGAATTTTATTTTGATTTTTGAAGTCATACACCTGATTTTTGGATTAAGCTATCAGATAGAGAATTAACCTATATGAAATTCTCTATCATTTGGTACCAATATTTCATGGTGAGGATGATTATGTGTTGAGATTGAAAGTTAGGGTTTATATAGGGTTTATGGATTTTGAATAAGTGATGAAGGATTTTTATATTTTTGATGTTAGTTATTAATCCTAAAGCATGTATGATGATTAAAATCATGTGTAAAGCCTTATGTTAGGTATGACCAAATTAGGGTTTATGGAGATTGAATGGATTTTGATTTAATTTTATATTAGGATGATTGGAAATGCATGAATTTAATGTTATGAGGTTGAATTCGTGCTTGAAATTGAATGGAAATCAAGCCCTAATTCACTTAGGGTATTCGACAATTAAGGAAATTTAGGGGGAAGATGTTGAAAAAATTCCTATGGTATTGTATTTAGGGATGGGTATGGGTCGGTTTGGTCGGATTTTTGGTCCACCCGACCTAACTCGAGAAGAAGGAATCCTCCACCCAAGATCTGACCCGACCGACCAAAACAAGATTTCACCCGACCCGATATATAACTTAAAAACCTGATCCAACCCGACCCAAATTAATAAAAAAAATTATTTTTATTCAATAAAAACAGTGACTTAATTAAAAAAATAATATATAGAGGTGTATTATTGTAATTATTCCTAAATATAAGGTAAAATTATATATTTTTTTGGGTCGGTATTTTTCACCCTAAACTCAAACCCGACCGACCCGAACCCAATTTTTTTTTAAAAAAATGACCTGATTGGGTCGGGTCGGGTCAGAATCCGTCGAGTTCGGGTCCCATGCGCATCCCTACTTGTATTGATATTAGAAGTGTTTCATGTGACTTGGAGATCAATTTGGAAGCTTGAATAAGAAAAGGGTTAATATACAAGTTTTGATAATTGTGGGACATTACTGCAAAAATGAGATATATGAAGGGTTTAATGCTGATTTTTAATATTTGAAATGCTGGAAATTTAAGTTAGAAAGTTGATTGGAACTAAATTGCAAGTTTGGTGAAGTTTAAGGGTATAATTCGAAAGGTCTCAATATTATAGGGACTTGATTTCACATTTATTAAATGTGAAGGTATCATTTGGGTAAAATATTATAATACTGGAATTTTATGGACATGCTGGCTTTTAAGCTCATCTATTGAGTTGGGATCAAATTTTAAGTTTATAAAGATAGATGGTCAAATTCTAAATGTCTAAGAAAGTTTAGGAAGAAATTGCAAGTTTTTGAATGTTAAAGTATTGATTTAGGAATTTTGATAATGTGCTAGAAATTTTAGAAATTAAAATGAAATGATCTAAATGGTGAGAGATTATTATGAATTTAATGGAAAAGTTAAGGCGAAATTTAGAAAGAATTCATAATTAGTGGCTTGATTTTGTTTTTGGCAAAAGTTGAAGGGTTGATAATGGAAATAAATACTTATGGAATTTAAGGAAATATTTTGAGAATTTTGAAATTATGATAGAAGTACGATTTAGTTTTATAATCATTTAAGTATCAATTTTATTTCTATCGAATTTTATAATTACCCTTAGATTATGTTAGTTCGATATTAACATGTAGTATGAACATTTTATGTTATTATATGACGTCGTCAGACCACGGTAAATCTAGTGATTCTAGTAAGGGAAGGAAAAAGTTTGAGATCGAGAAGGTTATCGTGGAGAATGTTCGATAGCAAGACAAATGTGAGTGCATTTAATTTGTATTTATGTTTTCGAACAAACATTGGCTTGCGATGAGCCAATGTCGGAATTACTACGATAAAAAGTGATTCCTAATGTTATATGAATTGTTATTCTAAACTATATGTTCATTTATTAAGCTTATAGAATTAGGGAAAATAATTAAGGATACAAATTAAGGAAAGTTGTCTAGAAATTCATGATTTGAACAGTAAGTTTAAAAATTCACTTAAATTAAATAGAAATGATTAGAGGGTGTATTTTATGCCGTTGGATTCATATATTAGTTTTTTTTTTCTAAAACAAACGTATATTGATTTCAAGGTGTATACAAAAAGACGTGAATTTTTAATCAAGAATAGGTTAGAAAACAGAGCAACAAATTCTGCTCAAAACAGCTTCTGTTAGCCAACTTTGAAATTTTGTTATAAATTGTACAAGTTGAACTAGAAGAAGTGCCTTATATGGTTATATTCGCATTCGATTCTAGTTTCCAGTTGTATTAACAGAATAATTTGTAAGTACATATATTAATACATAATAATATTTCTTTGAAGGTAGTACAAACTGTCATAGTATGAAATTTTGATAAACTTGGATAGTTGAACCATTTGGGAACAAAGGATTAATTCTAAAGTGTTGAAAACATTTTGATATTTCGATATAACAAATTAAGTTAAATGAATTTTAAGATTGTGCAATAAAGGTTTTCTAAGTATATTCGATATAATTATTTGAATATTAAAACATTACTGTAAATCTTTCAAAAATCATTTTTAATCCTTACTCAAGTGTAAAATTAAGTTTTAATTTTAAAACAATTTCAAAACAATTTCACAAAGTATTTCGAACCATTTCAAAGCCAAAAATTCCAGATTACTCAGAGGGAACCGATTCCCCCCCAAGGGGGTACCGATTCCCCCTGAATGGTTTGGCTCCGAGAATTCCAGTATGCTCGGAGGGAACCGATTCCCCCCTGTGTAACGGTCGAAATATTTGAATTTTACACTTAGGGAACCGATTCCCCATAGGGGGTACCGATTCCCCCCACGCTCCAAGCTGTTTTATTAATTGTTTTCACACTAAAACGGCTATATTATCTTCTCTAATCATCCCTAACGTTCAGAAGTGATTCAAGGTGTATTTAAGCAAGCTTAGAAGCCATTGATCAAAAATAAGAAATATCAAGCAACTAGAATCAAGAGAGAATCAAAGAGAAAGCATCAAACCTCAAGTTTGAGCATTTCAAGCCTATTTTTCATTCAATATTAATCTTGCTTTCAAGAACACTCATTGTGCTCAATTGTATTCATTTTTAGTGTTCTTTTCTTTGTTCTAGAATTGTGCAAACAATCTACCTTGTAAGGATTTTCTTGTAAGTTTGCAAAATTTGTATTATTCTCTTTGGGAGAGAGTGTTCTCAAGAATTTGGGGTATAATTCTTGAGGGTTTGTAAGGTTACTCTTTGTCCTCAAAAGAAAGACAAATTAGTGAATTTGTGGAAAATCCTTAGTGTGGATAGCTAAGGTAGTAGATGTAGACTTTGATTGAGAAAGTCGAACCACTCTAAATCGCTGTGCAATTAGTTTCAATTTTCTGCAAAAGCTTCCACCAAAATTTTTATTGCCAATTCACCCCCCTCTTGGCCGATTCCGTCAATCGATTAACTCAACATAAAACTTAGTGATGCTTATATTATTATTTATTAATTAAGTGTCAAAGTGAATACAATTTACTTATTTAGTTATTTTGATTGAGAACGACTTGTTATAAGCCAACCTCACATTACTTAAAGTATGTTTTCTATCTTAAGCATGGATTATTATTTTCATAATGTTTATATATGTCTTATGAATGTTTAGGATACGAATTACCCAAATTGCGATTTTTATGAGAATGATTGGAAAATGATTCTGAATTGAAATATTGATTATGAAACGAACAAAATATAATCTAAAAGCCTATTGTATGTTGCATTGAGAGTTATAGGTACAATTGACATGCCATTAAGTGAGTACTTATCAATTATCAGTTTCCAGTTATCTGTACCGTTAGTGCTCATGTGATGATTGCACTGAAGTGCATTATATGTTTCAATTTCAGTTATGATTGGCACTGAAATGCCTAGTGTGTGTTTTTCAGTTCTACTCAGTACCTTATGTTATCATAAATATGCATTGAGTTATAAAAATAAACATGAAAGTTATGAATGACGTTTCAGTTAACAGAAATCATGATATTATTATTTTATCAGACAAAATATGAAAATAAAATGAAAAGTTCTGAAATATGTATGAATGACTAGGATATGAATTGTTTATGTTATTTGATATTGATTTACATGCTTTTTGATGAAATCATGAGAGGATAATTTTCAATTTTCAATGGAAAATCAGCTTGATCAGCTCGGTTCGAAAGTTTTAATATTTTTATTTAAATTACATTTTCATGTTATAATACTTTACGAAATTTATATTTATATCATTTTAGTTATGTAGTTGCTTCACTAAGTTTTACTTAGCGCTTGATGGTTTTCATGCGTAAGTTTGAATACAATATAGGACGTGAAGTGAGGAGCTTGCTAGCATCTTATGTGAATCAAAACTACCGACAATATAAATAAGACATCTAACTTTGACTTATTAGTGGCATGTACATTATAACCGATAGGTTGCTTTATCACATTTATTTTATAAAGGGTCTGTAATAGTAATTTTGGATTGTTTTAATTTTGGATAATTTTAGCTATACTCGTGTTTATGAATGAATATTATAAACAGTTTTAAAAAAAAGTTTTAAATCAAGCAATGTTAGTCATATGTATATAGATATGAAACAACATGGAACTGCCTAATTACTGCATAAAATATTAAGCATTTATGAATGCTAAAGAAATTACAATTTTTAAATTGTAAGAAAAGGATATTTTAAATTGTAAGAAAAGGGTATTTTAAACCTCAACACAATTTTAAGCATTTATGTTCAACAAATGTCTATTAAGTTTATGACATTTAGTATCACATTATGTGACATCTTTAGTTCATATTATGAGATGTATACAGGCTATGGGTGTTTTAAACCGCAACAAAATTTTAAGCATTTATGTTCAACAAATGTCTATAATAGCTAATGTGACATCGTATTATGAGACATATACAAACTATGGATGTTATAGTCTCTTTCAAGTGTTGCTCAATGTAATGACCGAACAAAGAGATTATGTTTATGACATTTAGTATCACATTATGTCATATCAACAGCCCGACACTATCACACCGTCCTCTTAAGACGTTGATCGCTGATTAATTGACCGTTCCATCCACAGAGATGTCAATTTAACCTAAAATGAACCATCGAGATTAGATTGAATGGGATAAGATTAAGATGGGTTTTATTTGGTTGTGAAGAGAATTATAACACAAAAACCATGTTCAACTATGTTGGATGGTAATGGATAAACTATACTTGTCAAAAGCATAAAATTTTGAATGTCTAACATACATCATACTAATCGAGAATATCAATCGAAACCAAAATCAAAGGTATAACCAATTGAACTTCGGGTTGTTCCCTCTTCTTGTAGGTAACATTAATTTCATGAATTTTTGATTGAAGAAACAAATCAAACGAAAATGAGATGAAATCCAAAGCAGTTTACAAATAGGCACAGCTATATATGGTGCTTGTATACTACAATTTTACTAAGCAAACATCTTTTCAAAACCTAACATCCTATACATATCTCTCACATTATGGGTTACTTCCAAAAATCTTAATTGTAAAAGTACAACACTAATGTTACAACATAAAGAATTGAATTCTACCACAAGTGGATGGTTAGAGCTTTGTACATTACTCGGTGGAATTTTCTGGTTTCACAATCCCACCGGAATCCGCTCAGGTGCTGAAAAGTTGAGCTAAATGATGGCGGAAGCTGAAACGAGATCACTTATCATAGCAATATGCTGGTCCTCGACTAAAAAATTCAATCTGAAAATAAAGCTAGAAGGGCCATCGCATTTACCTCGACAACTTGGCTGTCATTATAACCTTAGTTTAGAAGCTTTTGATCCGAGATAGAATGTCGAAAATGTCTACAGACATTTTTGCGCTTAGTTCATGGCCTGTAAACCTTCAGGTACAGGCCCTGCCTCATTTACAGCATCTTGAAAGCCTGAAAAGCAGCATTCATCATCTTCATTCACTCAAACTCTTTGGCACAAACATCTGCTGCTTGGCAAGAGCATATTACCTTGTAGGAAAAGAGAAACTAAACTATTTTGCACCCTTTTTCATAAGATTAGCTCCCTTAGCCTTCTGCATTTCCGCCTCCTTCTCAGCTTTCTTCTTCTCCAAGTCAGCCTGCTTCATATTCTCTTCGTGTGCTTTTCGAAACAACCTCACAAAATTTAAGAGTGTTGCAGTGACTGCATTGATCAAAAAACAGCTTTGGATTCAGATATGACCAATTCAACTTTAAATAACCATATTAAAACCAGTATGATAAGATGCTGTTAGACTTGGATACAACTACCGGATATTGATATGGGTATGTTCTGTTTTTCTAAGTTTTTCATGTATCAAGATCTTCGGAGGATCTTATCTTCAAAACGTGTTCGGCTTCAAGAAAACTGAGGACTCGAAGAAACATGATGATTAGACTGACTTTAATACATGAATATTTTCCTAAATCTAAATTTCGATGAAATTAGGTTCTTTCTGCATTTACTAACCCCTATCAACTTTCTGAAACATTTGGCCCTTTACCATTTGAAGGGTGAAAAGGAAACTGGAGGTTGAATGAGGGGTAGAGTCTTGGTGAAAGAAGGATGACGGGTCAATAAAATGTCTTCTCCTAACAGGGATGACGGGTCAATAAAATGTCTTCTCCTAACATTCTCATTATACAGTTCTAGATGCTACTCAAGTAAAATAGGTACGATATCAATATTCAATCTACCTTGCTCAAAGGGGCATCGAGCAGGTTCCTCACCAAAATAGAGTGCAAGTGCATCTGCATTTCTTCCCTGTCCATCAAAAAAGTTTAAAAGAAAAACCCTCGATGATTAACAACTAATCAAAAGAGTTGGACAATATTAGATGATGGATCAAAGAGAATGTCAAGACTAGGCAAATTACCACCACGGAATATAGATTAGTTACCAACATCACCTCTCCTTCAGCAACAGAAATGAATCCCTTTGATGTCTAAAATTTAAATTTTAAAAAAATGAAAAAGAAAATGTTAGAACAAGGAAAGTGCTCCCTAGACAAAAAAAAACAAAACAAAACAAAGCAGTTGATACTGTTTTGTGTAGGACAAAGCCACAACAAATGTTTGTTCCATCGCATTAGATGCTACTCGTCCACCCACATGATTTAATATACACGTGGCACTATCCAAAAAATGAGAATAAGAAGAAAAAATTCTCAAAAATATCCATGTGGATAAATTAAGTTATATTTCTTTTAAAAAAACGTAAATATTAGAATTGGTAACTCGAAAAAGAGAAACATTTAATCATCATACTATTTTGGGCAAGTTTTACATTAATTTATAGTTTATAATTTTTATTTCTTAATTTATCTTTATTCTTAATATAATAGATCATTAATAATTCTCAGTTATAAGCCAACATCTTGGAGCAATGGTTAAGACTCCTCTGTTGCCGGTTAGACTAGGATTCAAATCCTAATAGTGACATGCCCTTATTTATGGTATGACTTTTTGGCTGAATTTTTGTTCACTCTAGTCCTTGTATTGGTGTACCATGCCATGTGTATATCACGCTATGTGGAATGATAAGTGATGCTTACATAGACGGGATAGTTAAAATTTTAACTTTTGATTACCCAATGGATGGATGATGAAATGCTTTGAAAGGTTATGCATCACAAATGTGACTTCTAAAGGTTATAGATGGAAATGAAACTTTGATAAAAGATCACGAGCTATGGGTGAATAACAATGAAGACAATGCAGCAAACATTTTACATGAGTTGAAGAACAAAAAAACATTGAAACAACTGTGTACCTCACGGAAAACTTCAGAAACTGGACCATCATTTTCGGAGGCAGCTAACTCCAGCTTAACCTTTTCTAATCCTTTAATTATAGATTGCATTTCCTCTGCCAAAGATTTTAATTGTATCTGCAAGGACACAAGGTTTCAAACTAAACACAGTGCTACCAAACCATAAATCTCAAACACTAAAAGACAGAAGCAAACCTTAGTTGCAGCCTCAAGGCTAACAAATTCGAGGTGGAAATCTAGAAGTGCTGGTTTCTTGGCAGCTAAGACCTGAACCATAATAAAACACAGTTCAGATTCTAATCAAATTGACAGTTGCTGATAATGTAGCATATCAACTGGGCATATAATATAATTTAAGCGAGTCTTACAAGAAACAGAATGACCATAATAACACTACCTCAAGAAGAAAAAGAAAATTAATAACCAAACCTTGCAAAGATAATGCATTAGCGTCATCTTGCTGTTAGAAGCACGTGTATCTGTGAGCTTTAGAAGACTGTCCAACTTAAATCCGACAGCAGAACCTACATAATACGAATGATTTGAAACTTCGTATTAAAGGAGCATGCAGGCAGTTAAATAATTCTCACCAACTCTAATCTGAAAAGTTTATCAGCATTAAACCAAATATGGATACAGTAGCTTTGGCTAAGAAACCAGAACTAGTGTAGATGAAGGATAAAGTTGATTGATGCCAGCATCATGTAAAAGTTCAATATAATGGACATAAATGAGGAAATTGGACATTTGAGGACAAATGCATAAACCACGTAAACTTCTAGCTATTGACAAGAACGAGTTGACGATTAGAGTGAAGCAATTGGGATTCAAATTGCTTGAGCACTATCAGAAGTACTATAACCCAGATGAACGATTCTGATACGCCCAGCCACTTCCAAAATTAAGATATAAACAAAGCACAAACAAGCAAAGTTCAAAAGAACATGCTTCACTACTTCTCTGACATCCAGGTAACATATGGCATTCCTTCGTAGAATAGAAGTCACATGTGGTCATTAACTAAGCAGACTTTCAAATACCATGGGCCACTCCCCTATGACTACACAGATTAACTCGATTTCCAGTTTAAGATGTGGGATGATGCTCAAAATAATGTACTTACCATCACTTGCAAAAGCGCATGCAAATATCAAAGCAAGTATTATACACATGCTTATGAGTCAAGACAAACATAAAATACACAGTTTAGCTAGTAAAATAAATCTCCTCTACATAATCTTTTATTGGTAAGCAGTTGCAGCATCAATGATTGAAGCCACAAGGAAAAAGGAATATATCACTTACCCCTTGCAGTTCCTTGGTTCAATGTATTCCCCAGATAGAGAATTTTCTTCATTATCTCCTTCAGTTTAAGGGAATTTCGAACCTAACAACCAATAAAAAAGTAGTAAGATATAAATGAAAAAACGCAGTCTAATCCATTCAGCAATGTTAATGATATACCTCTTCACAAGCAGAATTTACAGTGTTTAAGCACTTCTTGAATTCAGAAATCTACATGTGGTAAAAAGTGTGTGAATAAAGATCCAACAGGGGATTCCAGAAAAGAAGGGAGAAAGCAAGCAATAGACTAATTATTAAATAATAGTAAAGTTATCAAATCAAATTAATTACGGAGATACCACCAAACCTGAGAGCCGAACTGAATTTTGAAAGAAAAAACTCTTAATTTGGACTCCACCCTTGGCACTTTCATCAGCTCCAGAAAATACTGAACATGAAATATTAAATGGCAGTTAGATTTTAGAAGTTTTTGCAAAGATTAATCAAAGGAAAGATACAATTGAACAAGCATCCAAGAATTAATTGTTTTAGCAAAGTTTCTTCATAAAAATTAAAACAATTAAAAAAAATACTGGGATGTCTATTCTTGTGATGCTATGATAATATTTAATAAATCATTCATCGGTCTGTAACATTTAATGTATTTTTTGAAAGTTGGATCAACCAAAATTGAGTAGCATAGTAATATAGCAGAGTAAAACTTAATATGGCCTTTCGTTCTTACCCTTTTTAGAATAAGCAAAGAACAACAGATATATAAAAATCAACAGCCTCTTGCACTTAACATTCACTGCTGCCTATTTAATAAAAATTAGGAGTATAAAAGCCCAAAGCTTTGTCGAGGGTAATTCTCCCCTGAACATCTTTTTATTTCTCTTTCTCCATAGAAGCTACAAAATCAAGAGAGGGCTCAAATATACCAGTATCCTAATTGTACAACCATATCCACACTCCCTTCCAATGGCAAATATCTACCTTTTCAATATTTAGTACAGTCAGAGAACAAAAAACAAGTAAACAAGACAAAATTTCACAGTAGAACATGATCAACAACAAATACATAACCGATGCTCCCTCTGTTCGAGAACAATGAGTCAATGACCCACAACACTCTTAACTGTACTAAAGCTCATGAGTAATTCAATGAAGCAGCTTTTGATGATAAAAAATCCTTAGAAAATGTGATTTTTACACACACACACACACACACACAATGAAAAACAAAGAATACTAGAAACCAAGTACTTTCAACACTGACATCAGAAAATACTACAATACATGAGCTCCACTTGCTTATCAAGAAAAACCCTACCCTTCTCAAATCCAACCAACATCTGCCGCTAGATCAACTAAGTCACTGCTAAGATATTGAGATTCTCGCACATCGTTTGTTATTCCTTGTAAATCTTCCTTGATTTAGGATTTTAATTTACAAGCATCACAGATTAATCTAGATTCATATTTAATTCATAAGTACACAAATTTCACTGGCATATCTTCATTAATGAATTTCCAGGCATCAATTCCAAAAATAATCACAAAATAATGGTGGCTATGAAAAAAAAAACTAACTTTGTCTTCTTTTTTTGAAAAGAACTCATCCATTAATTCATAAGAAACAGAACACAATGAGTCAGATTTACATCTCATACAAGACAATCACACAAGAAAGATCAGCCCTCCAATTCATACAAGACGATCCCATACAAGACAATCGCACAAGAAAACTCATAGCCAAAATATCATTGAGGATAGTGCTTGGGCCTTAGAAAGTAACATTCTGAAAATAAGAACAAATATTTCAAGATTATTGGAAAAAGAAAGACTTAATCATGTACATCTAGAAAGAGAAAAGGAGACACTTGAGCAAGAATAGAGGAAGTAGTATGTGGTATAAATGAGAACTAGAAGGGGGAGAGGTAGAGGGAGTTTTTAACTGTGTCTCACTCCCAAGAAAACGGACCAAATAAAAGTTAATAAGATCACCCTTCGAGTAAGCCAGGATACTGTATTTTAATTATCATATGAAAGCATCTCAATTTTAAAAGGAAAGACTCAATTTCTTATATATTGGAGATGGAGGGGTGGGGGTTAGACCAAGCTCTTTGAGCAGGGGGCGCATCATGCACAAACCATTGAGCCAAATGCTCAGGTGCAAAGATGTTAAATTGTCAGTAATTAGAATAATATGAAGACAGACAAATCAATTTCCAGAAAAGTACATATGTGACAGATCAACGGCAATATAATCATCAATCAATCTACCAATGAAAGAAATGTAAGTCTTGACAATATGAAAAGGAAGGTATGGTTAGAGGAAAAGCTGCAGACCTGTTCACACTTCCCCAAACTCTCCTTGTCACCAGTGTAACCCTAAAAAATCATGACAGTAAATCACAACCAAAGAAGACAAACTTGCAATGGTAAATCAATTCCCACACTGCAAAACCTGTTCTGAATAGATTAAAGTCCTACGCCAAAACTAGATATGCTAAAGATTCACCTTGAGAAGTTCCATTTCCTCTTTGGTTGGACAAAATTTTATGAGATTTTCCACTTGATCAACATCCAATACAGCATCATCCATTGCTAGCACTGCAGCCTGAGAAACACATGAAGCTGTGGACAATTAGCAGAAAAATAAAAAGAAATGGTAACCTTCAATTAAAACCAAGGAGAAAACAGGAAATAAAAAAAGTGAAAGGAAACGATTCAAAGAAATCTCATGTTCCCCTGTTTCCATTAATTCAATGAAAAATAGCATCAGAATTCTAAGATAAGAATGTGTTACACCAAGACAGAATCCATTGAAGAAGCCAACTGCCATAATACACCAAACTCCAGGGCAATTAAATGCAACCGCTAGCAAACAACATGAATCAAATAACCTTGTTGTCCTCCTTTGTACATATTATGCGGAAAACAGATATACTCTAAGGTCACATCTCTACAAATGGGAATACCACACACACTTCCTCGAGTTGTGTAAGAAACTCTAATAAAAGAAAAAATATAACCTTGTCCTGCTTACCATCATATCAGAAAGTGGCATCTTCACTTTAGTGAGCATGATTTCGGTGTTGTTGGCCCTCCTCAAGTCAATCTAGATTGCAATAAAAAAATGTCAGTGATGACATGACGAAGGGGGGAAATAATAATCATTATGATGGTTTTACACGGTTTAATATAGGTAATAATCACAAATTATTTAATAAATTTCCAGAAAGCCATCTTTTAACAAAATACCATGATCCCCCCACCCACCCCCCGGCAAAAACACACACACACACACACACACAACACATGTACATCAGGGATATAAATCATAAAGAGTGAGACAGTCCCAAGAGGATATCCTAGCAGATAAAACCTTGAGAATTCATCTTGGAGGTCTTGTATTTGGAACTTGGGATGGGAGAGGGCTACCTCCCATAATATAGCTCAGAATACTTATGTACCAAAAATTGAGGAAGCTGTATAAACTAAAAACTTCATTAATAGCGTCAACTTCCAGCTTTTTTGAAAATTTTGCAAGAAGAAGAAAGAGAAACATTTATGATTAATTCAAAACACCAAAGATTAGAATGCCCTTTTCCTATAAAAAAGTATAACCCTGGCACTGTATGCTACAAGTTATGAGTTCTTCAATTTATAAGAGTGCAAACCTTTTACCCATTCAATCCCGATAAGGTGGTTCAAGTAGCAGTACCATAGTGACCTATGAAAAATTATATGCATAAGGTTCATTCAAGAAAACAAAATTCCAGATTACCAGGTGGACTTTGTCAGGTTTTGATCCAAGTGATTTGCGTCTCCCTCCAGATCTATTAACTGAATCAGCAGGTTTAGGAACAACTGCAGAGAAAAGAGTCTCAAGCTCTGAAACATCAAATTCTGGCGCGCTAAGACAAAGAAGTCCATGTCAGCAAATACAAAGTGAAAATTACCAAATGTAAAAGGTAATGTGAACATGTACCATGGAATCTAGCATAAATGTTTAGTAAAATTGATCACTCATGGAAGTGCTGTACTAAAGAACTAAATCAGTAAAAGAAGGCCCAATACATTTGAGGTTGTCCATGTCTTTGTAATTCTTCCCATAAGCTTCCTTGTATTGCCCTTGTGACCTTGCTCCAGTGCAAAGGCTTTAAAGAAGACCTTCTAGGTGCTGTAGCAGCTGCCAGACGTGGAAGCCCACGCCCTCCTCTCCCATCAGCTACTTTGGAACCCAATGGCGGAGGTGGAGGTGCACCACCAGGACCTCTAGGTGGAGGTGGAGGACCCAGAGCTCGGCCTCCAGGAGGAGGAGGCGGAGGTGGCGCCCCACCTATAGGTGGGCGAGCACCATGCATGGGAGGAGGTGGTGCTGGCACTCCACAAAGAGGTGGAGGTCGTGGGGGTGGTCCTGGAGCTCCACGAATAGGTGGAGGTGGTGGGGGTGGTCCTCCATGTCGAGGGGGCATGGATGGCACTCCATGCAAAGGGGGAGGTGGTGGAGGAGGAGCTCCAAATTTTGGTGCACCACCATTAATCAATGGAGGTGGAGGAGGAAGTGGGATACCAGACATTGGTGGGGGTGGGGGTGGAGTTCCTCGTAAAAGAGGTGGAGGTGGAGGTGGAGGTGGTGGTGGTGGTGGTGGAGGAGGAGGAGAAGCTCCGTGACTAGGAAGAAGTGGTGGCAGTGGAGGAGAAAAAGCACTATGAAGTTGTGAAGAAGGTGGTGGTGGTGGAGGAGGAGGAGAAGCTCCACGACCAGGAGGTAGTGGTGGTGGTAAAGGAGGAGAAACTTTGTGAAATGGTGGAGGTGGGGTGGCGGAGGTGGAGAATTTAGTACAATAGGGTCAGCTAAAGGATTCCTAGATTCCAAAGGTGGTGGAGGAGGTGAGAGAGGTATTATAGAAGTTGCATTTTCCTGAAGAGATTGTGAATACACAAAAGAAAATTTGGGTGGTGGTGGGGGTGGAGGTGGTGGTGGTAATGAGGATGGTGAGAATGGAGGTGGAGGGCTAGGTGAAATGGGCATTAATTGTTGTGGACTAGGTGGTGGTGGTAGTGATGTTAAAATTATTGGAATGCTAGAAATTTCTTTAGGAGAGTTTGAAGGCTCAATAAGGTCAGCCTTCACACTTTTTTGCTTGGATGAAATATCCTTTGAATTCAAAGCTCCACTAGAGCCCTTTTGATTGGCACTTGAATGAGAATCCTTCAAAGGCGCACTATCAGATTGTCCAGGCGGTGCACTATTATATCGTGATGGTACATGTGATACATCCATTGAATTGGGTGGATATGATACGTGCATCGAATTGGTATAAGAGCCTTTGTTAGAAGGGATCCACCTAGATAAAGATGGCTTTGCTTGTCTTGCAGGAGGACCATGAGCTTCTAGTTGTTTGCTCTTTGGTTTCACCACAAGAGAATCTAAAGCTGGTTTTGGACCGATCCCAGCCTGTTTCTTTGAAGCAGACAGTATTTTCTCAGGTTTAGGCTTGGAAACATCAGTTTTCAACCTTTGGTGCAAGATCTTAGATTCTGCATTCTTCGGTGGAACACAGTCTTTTCTATTGCCCTTATCCTCCAGTTCTTCCAATTTTCCATACACATCTTCTGTTACTTCCATGGTTCCTCTTTCTCTCGGCACATCAACAGTTAATGCGACTGGTTCAACTTTGACGAATCCATCATCAACAGTGATGTCTTTCACTGCATTAATGTCAGAATCCATCCTCTTATCTAATTTATAATTCACATCATCGACAGCAATGTCCTTAACTGCATCCAAACGAGAATCAACCTTGACGTCCTGCCTGAAATTCCCATAATCTGGAACACAATCTTGAAATTTAGAAGGACCCACATTCTCCCTCCATACATCTTTTTTCTCTACCTTGTAATGAACTATCAGACTGTCGTCATCTACCTTTCCTTCCAGTGCATTGACTGCATTGCTGAAGATCTCTTCAGCCTCAAAAAATTCCTCTGGTGCAACACTTTCTATCTCATTCCCATCTTCACTTGCCATAACTTCAGTGAGATGAGGGACAACAGCATCTGAGTCCGTAAAAAGTACCTGATACAGATAAAAGTATACACTTAACTCGTACAAATTCAGAAAAGAAAAGCATTCATATAATAATAACTTTAACCTACCTCTGCTCTAAAGTCCTTTGGAAATTGATCCTTGGCATCCCACAACACATCAATTTCATCACAATTGAGCATCAAAATATTTGCTCGAACAAATGCTGTGTGAAACATAACTCTGAATATCATCTCTTCATGCACCAAATCTTCGTTTAAATGGATGCACTCAATCACAACATCCCCTTGAATACGGCAATGAATATCTATTTTTACCAATGCACATTCTTCCTGCAGATAAACTGTATTAGAACATCCCAAATTTTGGTCAATTTATCTTTTCAGATTCAATTGTGTAAGGCGTCACCTTTAGGAAGTGACGGACTTGATTTCTTTTCTTTGAAGTTGAAAATAGAAGTTTAGAACTTCTAGCGGCAGGTGTTTTTGGGTCCTGTCCATAAACACGCACAACAGGCCTGCAACCTCCTCCCCCTTCAAAGGTTGGAAGAACTCTAAGAATTAGACAATCCAAAAACAGAGGTGTATCTGATGGAGGCCAATCAGAACCCAAATTTCTTCTAGAAATATACTGAAGATATCTTAAATGGGAAGATTGGGGGTTCAAAGGAGACAGAAGCTGGAGAAGGTCTCTAGGAGCCTGCTTGTAGACCATTTCAAGAGTCTTCTGCTCACCAGTGTACTGCTTTCGATATAACAGAAGACCAGAAAGCATGAAAGCGAGTACTGGCCATCCTCCTCTTTCACAGTGCATTAAAAGAACATTCTGCTGCCCTTCCAATGACAACCAGCTTTCACTAGATCTAAGGAAATGATGAATCATTTCAAGGGGCAGCAGTGGACATCCCTCATGCTGTCGTGGATAATCCATAACAGTCATGTCATACTGAGATAAAATATCTGAAATTAGGCTCCTCCTTTCCCCTTCTCTGAAATTAAAAACCATGAATGAAGCATCAGGAAAGTAGTCTTGTAGCTGCGCCACAATGCCACTCATATACACTCTGTACTCATTTTCTTCCAATACATCCGCAGAGAAGCAACAATCAAACACTGCAAAATAGCCAACACGAAAATAGAATCAAATCAATTGTAAAGTTCATTACAAATGCTCACAAAGAGGGAATTTATATACTTCCCTAAAAAGGAGAAAAGCAAATATTCTTCAGAACAAAGATATCTATGGGAATGGTGGAAAAAACATCTATAATACAAGTGACAGCGTATCAGTTTCTAAGCTCCGAGTCATATTGTTACAAAGTTCAAAAGCAAATCAATTCAGTCATTCTACTTTGAAACAACTAAGCCGAATGCTCCCGAGAATCAAGAAAATAAACAAGCTAAAGATCCTTAAGAGTTTCTTAGCTGCAATAAAATAAGTAAAATTAATCAACAAAACCTACAAAAATGAAATCAAGTTAATGAACGTAAACTAAAGTATCGAGATAAGAATCATGAAATAGAAATATTCCAAAAACAGATTCAGAGAATTCCAACAACAAAAAACTGGAATGAAGCCGATATTTTGAACTGAGAATGAAGATGATATCGACATTTTGAAGCTAAACCGAACCATAAATAAAGTAAAAAAAAGATAAAAAGAAAAGAGTGAAGAAAAGATTACCATAAACACGTTCGGAGATCTCGAGAAGCCGATCCGGCGGCTTCCGATAAAAGAAGCGTCTAAACAGCGCCATTTGATGGCGCTGTTACTTCGCCGATTGGATCCAAAGCCCTTTTCCTTCAATCACGGTCACATTTGAGTTCGATCTTCGTCTCTCTTTCAGTAAAATCAGTGAGAGACCCTCGTTTCCGGTTTTGAAATTCAAATCGACTCAAATTCCGACTTGAAATCAACACAACACCCTCTTCAAAATATACGAAATTATTCAAATAAAGAAGATTTCAATTCCTTGAGAAGTAAAAGAGAGAAGTAAGAAATGACGCCGTGCGGATTATGATTAGAAACCAAAAGAAAAAGAAAAGAAAAGAAAAGAAAAGAGAAATTTTGGGGTTAAGCTGCAATGGAAAGTGGTAGTAATGTTTTTAAATGTGTCGATTTTTTCCTATTTCCTTATAAATACAAAAATCTATAATTTTCTTATTTAACTGATGAGGTAAATAAAAAAAATCTAGCCGTTTCATCTATATATATTTTTTCCCTTGTACCTTAACTAATCTAAATTTATCGCGTTACATGTCTGATTGTCTACATATCAAAATTTTATATAAACAATATTAAATTGTTTATAACTTAAATCAACGAGGTTTGGTTCATCTATATTTTTTAAATTATAATATGATAATATTAATTTTAAATTAATCGTGGATAGTTTATATTTTTATTTTTCATAATTTTTATTGTGTTTTATATATATAAGTTATATTTTTTATTTTATTTAATTATTTGTTTTCATTTTTCATATAAAATAGTATATAACTTTGTCTCTTATATCATGTCTTCTTTTATCTGAATGTTAGATTTTATAATTATTTTTAATATTTTTTATTTGACTATCTTATTGATATATTCTTATTATGGACTTTCAAACGGTTTATCTTTTATCGAACGACACTTACAATCACTAAAGATATATCACACTTGAGTTATGATAAAATCAATTTGTCAATGCGCTATTATTATATGTAATTTTATGTTAGTGGTCATGATACTTATTTTTTATCGTCGATAACAATGTTTGTAGTATCTGTCATTTTTAAGTTATTTGGTTAGGTTTCGAAATATTTCTTATTTTGACTTATTTATTTTAGTTTTTAATAGTTAATTTGTGTATTTTAATAAATTTATAAGAAATAATCGACTAATGCCATTTAATATACTCTATTTTTTAACAAACTATGAAATATCATCCCTTTCGATTATTATTTTGATATTGTTCCGTAAATTTTGATTTTGATTCTAATTATTTCAACATTGTGTCTTTTGGATTTAGGTTAAATATGGTTGTAAGTTAGATTTATGATAACTTCTTTTTACCATATTTAAATTATCTGTAATCTTCTGGAATACCTACATTAAATGCAACTGTGCTTAATGTATTTAAACTAATTATTAATATAAATAAATACCAATTGAATTAATATTTAATCGATTTAAATAATTAATTAAATTAATAGGGTAAAAATGATGTAATTTAGTAGTTAAATTAAAAGGGTAGGTTTTATAGAATTTTTAAACATGCAAAAAATATTTAACATTAATGTCATTATTTATTGGTTAAGGGTTTTTTAAATTACTTCGTAATTCAATTAGTGAGTTAGAAACTTTAATGTTAACGGAAATTAATGAATAATGTTTTGTTTTCTAAATAAAATGAATTTGAAGAAACCGTTGTTGAAATATATTATTGATTTTATGATTATATATATATATATATATATATATATATTGATTAATTTGGGGTAAATATAAGACAGTATTTATTTAAAGATAATTCTCAAACTCTTGAAAAAGGTTATTTAAATATAAAAATTATTTGGGTAAATTATATCAATGTGTCACTAATATTTAAGTAAATTTTTGTTTTTTCCATTAAAGTTTTAAAAGTAACAAATTGGTCACTAATGATATCAATTTGTAACAAAATGATCACTCCACCGTCACTAAAGTTTAAATTGATGATGTAGTAACGTTAACAAAAAAGTTTATCTTTAGTTTTAACCCTAAAATACTACTAAAACATCAAATAGGTCCTTGAACAATGATTTTATATCTAATTTATCCTAAAACTTTCTACTTTTTATTTTTTTCAAATGACCAATTTGATGTTTTAGGATTAGTTTAGGGGTAAAATTAAAGATTAATCTTTCTATTAACGTTGTCATGTCATCAAATTTAAGAGAGATGACAGTGGAGTGATCATTTGTTACAAATTGATAATGTTAGTGACAAATTTGTTACTTTTGAAAATTTAGTAAGAAAAACAAAAATTTACTCAAACATTAGTGACTATTATAGTTTACCCAAACTATTATTCGACTACACTCTTAAATAATAAAAATTTACGTACAAACATTTAAAAATTTAATTATTTTCACTTGAAAGATATTCTGCGATCGATCACACTACGTCTATTTAGATATTTTATTACTCTAATTTTAAGTTAGAATTACTTAATGGGTCCTAATAGGTTTTCATTCGTTTTAGTACTTAAATTTTTATTTTTTTGAAAATCATACCTAACGTCTAGTTTTTGTTTCATTTTAGTATTTCGTCATTAAAAACTTAATGAATGGGCTGACGTGGCATAGCTCCGATGGACGAATAACCAATCTGAACAGTGGACCACAAGAGAATGACAAGTCGACCAACATAGTCCAGTTTCAAGTCCATCGGACTGTGGACCATGGAGATCGGTAGATGAAGAAATCAGAGAATTCATTGTCGATTTGGGGAGATTGATGCATTTTTAGGTGGGTTAAAATTGTGTTTAGGGGGTCGAAAAGGTGCAGGCTAGAAAGTTTGGACTTCATCAACTGACGGATATGACGACCGATGACTGTAGACGCGACGGTCAATGACTGTAGATGCGATGACCAACGAGTCTGTCCGTTAAGTTTTAACGATGGGATACTAAAATAAAATAAAAACTAAACATTATATATGGTTTTTAAAAAAATAAAAGTTTAGGTACTAAAACGAACAAAAATTGATAATTTACGTACTAAACTTGTAATTTGTCGTTTTATTTATTGTATCATCCAGCCTAATTTCTTGGTGAGATCGAATATGTATAGTCTGAAATTGTTTTATTTGAAGTTTTAGATATTTATAAATCTTTTAAAAAAATTTATATAATTTAAGACGATTATAATATATTATATATTAATTTTTTAATCTATTGATAACGTATAAATACCCTTCAGACATTGTTGCTCAAATTTAAAACCTTAAGAGAGATCAATATTTTATTTTATATATTTAAACGGATTGATTCTAATCTCTTAAGATTTTATGTGTTTCTAATATTCAAATTCATATTACATCTTAAGATATGTGCTTCGAGTTATTCAAGTTTTGATTAAAATACATTTTAAGTCCTTATTATTTTCTGAATTTGAACAATTTAACTCATTACGTTTTTATCATAGTCCTGGGGAAGTTCTACGGTGCAACATCTTTAATATACGGTTAAAAAAGGTGGTATAAATTTTATTATTATTTAAATAACAAAATCAGTAAAAAAATTACCTAAAACATTATTATTTCTAACTAAAACATCAATATTTTTTAATATTTCTGATAAAATGCCCAACAATAACAAAAACGGTAACGCTTTACTAATTTTGATAAGAAACCTTATAAAATGTCCAATAATAACAAAATCAATAGAAATAATAATATTTTTGATAATTTTTTATCAATTTTATTATTTAAATAATAACAAAATCGATAAAACTTTCTTTTACTGTATATTAAGACGTCGGTCGCTATCCATTTAAAAGCGCCGTTAACAGTTCAAGAAATCTGGTTCCCCTCAAGGACAGACCATTCTCCATCACGACCCACGTGGCGGGTTACCAACCAATCGTTGAGAACTAAAACTCAACGTTATGGAAGGCACGATGATTCGATAAGTGGGAACCACCAATCAAAATGTATTAATTAAAGTTATTATTTAAATCTCATCAAGTATTATTTCAAAAAATAAAATAATTGTAGGAATTAAGTTATTATTAAAATGGATGATTATTATTTTTAGAGATTTTAGATTTGAGTACAAAAACAAATTATAAAGATATTTAAATTTTTATTGTTAAATAATTGTACTTTTTTTAAAATAAATATTATATTTATAATCACTCTAAATTAATAAATAAAAGTAAGAAGAATGAAAGTTTCAAAATAAATATTGATACAATCTACATTTGATTATTGTTTATGAAATTATATTTCACCGATATTTTTATTAAATAATAATTTTCTTGATTAATTAAATAATATTTTTTTTGATAATAATTAAATACTAATTTTATTTGACGAAAATAGTGACAAAGTACCTTCAATCCTTTACCAACACATAAACCTCAAAATGTTATATAGATTAAAATATTTTCGTTAATAATATAATAACTCACTAGTTTGATGCAATGGTTAAACATTGATTATTAATTCTCATAATCTTAGATTCGAGAATCAGAAACTACACGATATTTAAGTGTTCATTATCAAATAGCCGAGTGTCGTTAGAATATACCACTTATAAGACCCTTGATTAATAAAAATAAAAATCAATCCATATTTTCTTTAAGTTTTAATAAATATATTTCATTATTTTACTAAATGATAATAATTAAAAAAATATTTACTAACAAAACATAAATAACTTATTTTTATATAAAATAAATCCCTTCAATCAAACATTTTTAAAAAATAGAATGTTTTGTTATAAAAAAGAATTGGCAAAAGGCAGAAGCATTCGGTGGGTTTTGAATGCAGACATGATGATGAGTGGAATGATAAAGTGTTTCCCTCCCCAAGGCATTCAAATGCATTCCCTGAATTGCCTAATCTCCTACCGTTTCTGATTTTGACTCAACACGATTTGCCCCACTTATCCCATTCTCTTTCCATTATCGTGTTGGCCCATCATTTCTACGCCTTTTTCCAACCTATTGTGCTACAATGGAATCCAAAATGAAAATTATATCAATAATGTAAAAGAAAACACACACACATACTGAATACAAACCGAACCAAATAACAGTAACATATACATACATATAAGTCAGGACTTCAATTATTTAATAAAAAAAATATAAAATCTATATTCAAGCATTTTTGTCTAATTAGTCAATAATAACTAGAATAAATGATTAAAAACTCTCGAGATTAATATATTTTTTACTTTTAGATTGTGAATTCAATACCCATTAAGAACAAAATTTCCTAGTTGTAACTCTCAATTTCGAGTAATCAAGTCAGTGATGCACGACACCATCGTAGATCAACCATTTGGCATTTGATCCAAAATCAATCGATAAAGCACAGGAGAGACCCTCGAAAATTCTTCATTATCGTTATTGTTTGACTCAATGTATTTTCATACATATATGCGACATGTAAACGTGTTTCTTTTTTTGGACATTATTCTTGTAATTTTTAGTTTATTGTTTGGTCCCTTTTATTTCATTTTTGTCCTTGGCACCATTAGTCTTTATTATTTTTTTCATTTTCATTTTTCACACTAACATCGGCATGTCTACTAACGTTGTACCCAACTAAGACGACCTTCACAATTACAAATTAAAATAATATTTCCCTAATTAATTTTACGAGATGCTTATCTATCTCATTTTTTAAAGTTTTTATTATCATCTTCATAAATAAGCTTGTAGATGTATTTAATAATTAATTTATTTTAAAATATTTTATTTGTTTTGATTTTAGGAATTTTTAATTATTTATTTGGTAAAGTACATGAGTCCCCTAATTATAATGTGTTATTTTGTTAAATCTCCGATTATTAAAAATTACAAAATAATCTCTCGACTATATGATATTGTTTTATTGAGTCCCTCGACTATTAAAAGTTACAAAATGATCACCGAATTTTCACATGTTTCAAACTCGTCATTTTTCATTAAAAATTGATAACAACATGAGTTGGACATTAACTTGTTGGCTGAGTAATGATAGTCATTTGAGATTTTGAAATCATATTTTATCATATCATAGTCAATAATTTAACATCGAGCTCAGACTACCGTCAATTTTTAACATAAAAAACGAGTTTGAAACATATAAAAAGTCAAGTGACCATTTTTGTAACATTTTATAATCGGAGAACTCGACAAAGTAATACCCCATAATCAAATGATCATTTCATAATTTATAATATTCAAATGACTCAATAAAACAACATCCTACCGTCAATGGACTATTTGTATTTTACTCTATTTTTTAAGTACTACATAAAATTTAAATCAAAACCAGTTATTTTAAAATCAAAAGACATGATTGATATGTAGTAGTGGTTTCATTCTCGCATGGTAGGAAGGTGCAATTGAAAGAGACCGAGCAGCTACCCAAGTACTCTTCATCCTTTATCTTTTCAAATTAAATAAATCTAATGCATTCAACAATTTCTGAATGATTCTCTACTTATTTTTCATGACCACTACCATGCCTGTTGGTGGTGTTAATAATAATAGGTAATTGTTTTTTGAATTTCTTATTATTTGAAGAAAGCAGACAAATTACTACCATACAATAATCTAAACAAAACAACTCTGCAACAAATACAAATTAATAATCAAAGAAATTATGTCATTCTTTAAGCGGTACAAAATTTATGATTTATCTTATCTTGATGCATAGAAATATCAATTGAATATTCACTTTAATTCTTGAAAGCAAATCAGTTTCATTTAACATTTTTTCTCTAGAAATTTTGTTATTCCTCTTCTTCCATATTCAATAAATGCAAATATTTCAAACAATCTTGAGCAAAGTAGAAACAAAAGCCTTACCTTTGAACTTAATCATAGTCCAATAAAGCTCTTGATTTCAATCACCAATAGGCCTCGACAAGGGAATTGTTGCCCTATTTTTCACCAACCATGCACAAAGAAAAGGGCTTGAAAACATAAATCAGTTCACCGCCGAACAACGAGAAACCGGTAATGGTGTTTTTCTTCTTCCTTTTCTTCTTTTAATATCCAAACCAAACAAAAGACACTCATTCAAACAGGCATTTATACCCACCCCCAAGTGGGTGAAAAGACAAAGCTCTTATAAAAATAATCTCATTTAACATTGCAATAACATATTGAGAATCAAGTCTCAAACTATTTCGGACCAATGTCCTTGAGAGCACAGATCTGCTCCTCCCCCATTGCCGACATGACAGACACGACCAAGTCTTTCCCCTCGGCAAACCCGTCCTTGATCTGCAGTCACCATCATGATACAGATATCCAATCTCAGTTTCAGAATATAAAAAATGAGAAATGCAATGAATGAAACTTGTTTATACATGTGGGGAAGACTAAATTTCCCAACAAGAAAGAGGACAGAAAAGCAAAAGAAGACCGGTTTGAAATCAATAAAACTCCTATAAAATGAAACTTGAACCTATCTCGAGCATACCAGCTCGTGATAAGCAATATGCTAAAAAGCATCCAACATTGGAACTCAAATATCAGTAAGTTTAAATTACAAATGCAAATCTCAATAAAAAAGCAGTTAATTGACCTGTTTCAACAAGCTCTCTTCAGTTGGGAGCCTCAGATCATCCTTAGTGTCTCCACTATCAGTCAGCAAACTCACCTAAGAATATTTAATTTAACTAATTAAGAACATATACATATACAAACACAGAACCATCAAGCAGAAGTGAAGCAAAAGAACTTACAAATCCATCCTCAGAAATATCGATCAGCTGGTAATCAGTACGATTCACATGCGGAACCTGTTAAAACAGAAACAAAATCATCCAATAACACACCGAAGCAATCACATGACAAATTAAACATTAAAACTGAGAATGAGAAGAAAAGAAAAAACTTATGAGCGTTCAGATTTCATACATCACAGTTATGGGACGAGGGAACGATATCTTCCAACTTTTTGGCAGTGAAGATATCAATTCCGACAAAGTGACACTTAGCGTGTCCGTGCTTCCCCGTCTTGGAGGTGGAAACTTCCACAACCTGATGCACGCCGCCAAAAAAAATGATCAAGTTAGCTAAACTTGCAAATCAGCATAAACCCAAATCTAAATAGTAACCATATGGTGTAAACTCCAGTCCACCCATCAAACACTAATAACCTATCACATGCCAATAGATGCTACCACTGTAAAACAGCTTGAACATAATCAGAAGATTGACTAGAAACTATTAATTTCTTAACAATATAGACCTCGATTTACTTGTTCTTTTTGTTATTATTTTCACTTTCATTTTGCTTCATCGAAAGTCAAAAACCATAACCAATTCTCAATTCTGTCAAAATTTGAACAAATAATTAAAACTACTTCCAGAACCAAAATGAAATAAATAAATAAATATAATTCGAGCATCAAAAGTCAATATCAAGCGTAATATTTAGATATAAATTTTCCAAATATGAATATTATATAAATAAAAATCCAATACATCAAAATCTCAAATGAAATCCACAAAGAAATCAAAACCTTCAACACGTCATTCAAAACAGAGAGAGAAAACATAAACTCAAGAGATACAAAAGAGAGACCTTGCAGGGGACGGTTTTTGATAACGATGTAGCCGTTCTTACGGATGGTACCAGCCTGCTGAGGGTAAGTTTTGGAAGCTCCTGCATCGGCCTTGGATTCAAAATGGTGCTCCTCGTCAGACATTATTGTGTTTCAAATTTCTCTTTTTTCAGCAAAAATTGGGCGGCGCAGATGAGAGGATGAATTCTTATTTACATAAATTGCTTGATGTTAAGAGAGTTTTTTTTAGGGTTTTTCAGATTTTGATTCCTTGTTATCCAGTGAATTCAAGGAGTGACGACGAGTCATTTGACATTGGAGCCGTTGATCTTCAATGAAGATGAATTTGAAGGGATGCGATTGGAGAAATATGCTGCGTTTTCTGAACGCTAACAATTTTAATATTGTATTTGAACCATACTCGGATTCATCTTATTTATATTATTCTTTTAATTTCATTTAACATTATATTTTTTATAACGGAGTGTTAATATAATTTAGGGTGCGTTTGGTTTACGGAATGTAAGATTATCAATATGAATAAAAGATTAACAGGAAATAGGATTACTGAGAATGTTGTATTTTGTGTTTGGTTGATTTAGCATGAATGTAAGATTACCGTGTTTGGTTAAAGAAATAAAAGATTATTGGAATGTATATTTGACCAAATTATCCTTATTATATATTTATTTTTTAACAAGTTAGAAAATATTATTATATTTTCTTTAAAAAATTTAAATTCATAAAATTTATATAATTTTTTTTACAAAATTGAAAATATAAAAAGGTTTAATGAAAGAGTAAAATTTTATTTTAACCCATGAACTTCATATAAAATTTTAATTATAGATTTTTTTATAAATCTAAAATAGTTTAAGGATAAATTTATAATTTAACCTTCTTAGAATTTTTATTATTCAATGACAGAATAAGGGTATTTTTTATATAAAAAAATTAAGGGCATTTTAGTCCAAAACGTCGATAATCCAACAATACCTAAGAAAATGGAAGTAAAGACATTCCCTGTAATATATCCAAAAAAATCTACTATTGATAATAAAACATTACCGTGAATGAGATTTTCGGCCAACCAAACATGGGAATGTCGATTCCATTCCCATGAGAATCTCACATTTCCCAAACCAAACAACCCCTTAAGATAATAGGATTATTGACAATAAATTACAATTTTAATTAGAAAGACAATTATAATGAAAATCCATTATTATAAATATTTTATATAATTTATTTATTTTTAATAAAAACAACAAATAAATTAGAATTAGGGAGAAATAAAATTCGAACTAACTTTAAAAATTAAATTCTAAATTAATTAAATCAAATTATTTATATTGAGATTAAATTGCAAAGCTCTAATTTGGGCCAGGTCTGTTTTATCCTATGCTACACCCAGACTCTTTAATAAGAAGCCCATTCCATTGCTTCATGCTAAACTTATAAATGTTCAATCGGTTGGTTAGGTTAGCCGATCGAATCTAACTTTTAAAATTTCCTTAATCAAATTTTTTTTAACCGTTAATCAAATCAAATTTTTTTTCAAAAATAATTAACCGAATCAAACAAATTTCAATTTATTGGACTGTTAACTGGAATTTATAAATAATATATTTTATATATTTTATCTTTTATATTTTCGGTTAATTCGATTAAAACCGAAGTTTAAACACTCTTAAGGCTAATTCATATATATATAATATTAAATATTTAATAATTGCGGTTAATTCGATTAACTGATTAATTTTGAAGGGAATTAATCGATAACCGAAGTTTGAAATAATCATTAATCGTTAAACAAGCCGAACTTAAAATTAATCGATCGATTAACCGAAAAAACTTCGATTCGATCGATTAAATCAATTTTAACCGAAGTTTGAACACCCCTAATTAAACTTCTTCTAAAACTACTAAAAATATAAAAAGAAAGTGGTGGTTGCAGTTGGGATTTAAACATGTGTCCCTTGGTATGGGTAAAGTCATGCCCTTGTCACTTTGTCCAAGTTTTGTGTATGATATGAATATATGAACCAAAATTCTAGTGAACGTTGAATAGATGTGTCAGTAAATATATGAACGAATATTAAATAAATATATTTATAAATGTTAAATGAACCGAATATAAAAACTTTTAAAAATAAACAAACAAATAAAATATTAACAATCGAATAAAATAACAGTAAGAAGTTAAATCATTAGCACATAGATAGGGGGGAAAACCACAAACACAAAAAAATAAGTACAAGTTACATATTACGAAAATCCAAGATAAATAGATAGATAGATAGATGTGTAAAGAGATGAAATAAATTAAGTGATCTGATTAAAAAGTTCTTCACTAAACGAATTATATTATAAGCTTTTAAAATCAAACCAAATGAAATTCGAACTAATTCTTTAATATTTTTTATTATTTCAAGAGAAATAGTACTAATAAATAAGATTGATTTTTAAAAAAAAATGAAAAACATTAGACCTTTAGTATATTTTTCTATGTTAGTCATTTCATTAAGATATTTGTATTCAATATTTATATATAAAATTTTAAAATAATATTTGGTGATGTTTAATATTAGGGGAAGAAGATTATGGTCAGATATGACTATTTAATGTTTTTAATTTAATCGGAGAATTATAATATTCGGGATAGAATAAGTAGAGGAAAGAGAAATTTTGAATATCTAAAAATTTCATAACACTTGATTTTTCTATCTTCTCTTTTATTTTCTCGAGCTCCAACCATCGAACTTGAACTTATATCAAGATCTCGTTTAATATTATTACGTGATATTCTAAATTAATAATTAAAATATTTTATAAAATATGTTGGTGTCTAAGTATTCAATAATTATAAAAATCAAAGGGAAACCATAGTCAAATATTTACAAAGGTTAAATCATTATTTATTTGTTGATGTGAACATTCATATAAGCTTTACATTTTTTCTCTGTGGAAGCAATGGTTTTAATCAAACACACACACACACACACAACCCCATGAAAAACAAATTATCCAACAATTTCAGCTACGAAAAATAAAGGTTAAATCCTGTTGTTAATCCCTGTATCTTGGTGAGTTTAAGATTTAACCAATGTACTTGAAAAGAAAAAGAAAAAGTTGTCTTACGTTTTCTGTATAAAAATTCTAGTCCAACTCTATTAATATATATATTTTGAGCTAATTGCACCACATATCCTCAAACTATCACCTTCATTCTAAATTTATCTCTAAACTTTTAAACATTTTGATTTCATTCTCAAACTATGCATCTTATTTTAAATTGATCCCAAAATTTAGCACATTTCAAATCCATACCTCAACTATAACCCCATTCTAAATTGGTCCCTAAACTTTTGAACATTCTAATACCACCCCACAAAATCATTCAAAAGTTTAGGGATAAAATTGGAATATTCAAAAGTTTAGGGACCAATATAAAATAAGAGTACTACTTTAGAGATTAATTTGGAATGCTTAAAAAGTTGGAGATCAATTTAGAATTAATCATAATTTAGACCTAAAATGAGAGTCATAGTTTAGGCATGTGTGGTACAATTAATTAATATATATATATTTTATCAAAACTTGCCTACTATCAAGTATGTTCAAGGATTGGAATCAATATGAAATATTTAGAAGGACTAAATAAAAATAGTAGTAAAATGGGGTATAAGATCTAATTGTTAAGTCGTTAGTTTAAAATTTAAAAATTAGCGAGGTGGAGAAAATTGCCGAGAGGAAACTGAATTTTGAACTCGGACGGAGCATGCAGAATGAACACTGGAATGGTTGCGGCAGGAGGCCTGATCAGAGATGAAAACGGGAGTTGGGTCCATGGATTCATGATGAATATCGGGAGAACAAATAGCGCCATGGTCGAGGTATGGGGAATCAGACAGGGACTACTCCTCGCAAAATCGCTGGGTGCGAGGAACTTAAGCGTCGAAGGTGACGCCAAGTAGGTAATTGAAGCCCTGAATAAAGAAAGAATGGATGACATGTAATCTTCAGAGATTGTGAAAAGATGAAAGAGGAAGGTTGGATAACAGAGATTAGACATACATGGAGAGAGGGTAATCGGTGCGCTGACCGTGTAGCAAATCTTACCCCCAAGGAGAGAAGGGAACGCACCTGTTGAAAAATCCACCGAAAAAATTAGATTATCTTCTTCAGGCGGACATTGAAGGAGTAGCAGAACTTGGATGGTAGACTACTGAGTAGTCATTCCTTTGTAACAAAAATAAAAATAAAAATTAGTATCAAAATTTAGTTTGTCTAGTTTAAAATCGATATACCTAAGCATGGTCAAGATTTAATATACCCAATTTTAAAATCGTTGAGTATGCTTATCAAGTACATAATGATTTATGAATGTTTTGTGATTGCACATGTCTAAGGATAGAAAAATTTTGTTAGAAAATACCAATACATTAATATTATGGAATAAAGATTTTTAAATCGAAAAAGTTTTATTCGCACATAAACTAAATCCAAAAAATCACTCAAATAGAGGGACTAGCGGCAAATTTTACCAAACTAAACCTGCTTCAAAACTCAAAAGCTCGTAAATGGCTTGTTGAGTCTAATGTCCATGGTCAACCCAATGGCTTGATGTTACCTTAACCAGTCAATATGGGCGGCTCACCATCCCCATGCTTCCAAGTGCTGGTTGTTTAAGTAATCCGTTGCTTCAAAAAACAAATTTACGAAAATTGGTTTACAAAGTTGAAGAAGAAGGCTGCTCCATGGCGTTTTACTCTCTTCACCTTCTTAATCTTGATTACATGTATGTTCTAATCTCCTTTTTATCCGCTTAATTATGACCTTTTTCTCATTAAATGCATGGAAATCTTTCTTGGGTCAGCTTTTATTTTTCACTTTCGTGTTTTTCCAGGATGATTCTGTTAATTTATTGCAATCTCTGTTTTAAACTGTCATGTTTTTGCTTACAGGTATTATGGTTGCTGGAGATTCTTTAGAATCAGACAAAAAGTACTGCTGAAGCTAAAATCTTTTCTGCAAGAACAAAATCCAGTGAATCAAGAGAGAGATTCAAAATGGAATAGCGAAAACTCGAGTCCATGTCAATGGCATGGAATCTCATGTTCTTCTTCTAATGGAACTAGGGTCATTGGCATAAACCTTACGGACAGCAATATTTCCGGGAAAATGTTTGATAAGTTCTCGGCCTTAACCGAAATCCGATGATTTGTCGAAGAACACCATCAATGGAGCTATACCAGACGAGTTGAACCAATGCAGAAGCCTTGTATACCTTATCGCATAATCTCATTGAAGGACAGCTGAACTTATCAGGTTTGAATAGTTTAGATATACTTGAATTGTCTACGAATAGATTTCATGGGGATATTCATGTTAATTTCCCAGGAATCTGCAGGAGATTGGTTGTTGCAAACGTTTCAAGTAACAATTTCACTGATTTGATCGATTTCTTTGATGAATGCTGGAATCTGCAGTATCTGGATTTGAGTTCCAACAACTTTGTTGGCAATATATGGACTGGATTTCCAGGAGATTGGTTGTTCCAGGATCGATATTTCCGAACAACCGCATTCTGCGGATGTTAGACCTTTCGGTAAACAATTTTCAGGGTGAATTTCCAGGAGATATTTCGTTTTGCAGGAACTTGACTGTGTTGAACGTCTATGGAAACGATTTCACCGGTAAAATTCCATCCGAAATCGGGACGATTTTGAGTCTTGAAGGCTTGTTCTTGGGGGACAATAGTTTTTCAAGTGTGATCCCAGAAACCCTTTTGAATCTAACAAATATGGGGTATTTAGATTTGAGTAAAAGCAACTTTGGTGGGGAGATTCAAAGAGATTTTTGGGAGATTTACACAGTTGAAGTTCCTTGTATTGCACGGAAATTCATACAAAGGAGGGTTTCATTCTTCAGGGATTCTCAGATTACAAAATTTGTATGGTTTGGATCTAAGTTACAACAATTTCACTGTTCCATTACCTGTTGAAATCTCTCAAATGAAAAGCTTGAGCATCTTGATGATGGCTCACAATCAACTTACAGGCAGTATCCCACTTGAATATGGCAACTTGCTTCAGTTACAAGCCCTTGATTTGTCCTTCAACAACCTTTCGGGACCGATCCCTCGAGAACTCGGAAAACTGAGCTCTCTGTTATGGCTAATGCTTGCAAACAACTCCCTTAATGGTGAAATCCCACCACAAATTGGCAACTGTTCGAGTCTACTATGGCTGAACCTTGCCAACAACCAACTCTCTGGAACTATTTCACCTCAGTTGGCAATGATCGGGAGGAACGCTACTTCGACTTTCGAGTCAAACCGGATAAAGTCCAGAGACCGGTCACGATCCGGTACCGGTAAGTGCATGTCGATCAAACGATGGATACCGGCAGACTACCCGCCTTTTAATTTTATGTATACAATTCTCACCAGGAAAAATTGATGAAGTATATGGGATAAGTTGCTTAAAGGTGTTGGCATTTTCCCAAAGATCACTGCAGGTTCAATGGTGAGAACATATCAGATCTCGGGTTACGTTCAGCTTACTGAAACCGGTTTTCGGGTCCGATTCCTGCAGATATCGGTTTGATGCAAGATTTCAGTATGTTGCATTTAGGATTCAATGGCTTCAACGGTGAACTGCCTGCATAAATTGGCCAGCTTCAACTTGCTGTTCTAAATATCACTCGAAGCATGTTTTCTGGAACAATTCCAGAAGAGTTACGGAATGTCAAATGTTTGCAGATGTTAGATTTGTCGTATAACAACTTTTCTGGCATGTTTCCAGCAAGCTTGGACAAGTTGTCTGAATTGACCAAGTTCAACATTTCATACAATCCCTTCATTTCAGGTGCAGTTCCAACAATCGGTCAATTTGCAACGTTCGAGAAAGAGTCCTACCTCGGAGATCCACTGCTCCATGTCCTGGATTTCATCGCTAATCGAACGGATCACTTGGCAAACAATCATTGCCGGCATAGAAAATCTGTCAAGTTGGCTGTGTTTCTGGTGTTATTAGGCCTAACACTGGCCTTTTTGGTATTCGGAATTCTGTCTCTTTTGGTGTTATTGGTGAGAAGCCCTGAAGAACCAGCGGGATCTCTCTTATGGAATGAGAATTTCCGACACAATCTGACATTGAGTTCCGGCGGCTCATCGCCATTGTTTTCGGACACTGTCAAGGTCATCCGTATAGACAAAACAGCATTCACTCACGCAGATATTTTGAAGGCTACGGATAATTTTTCGGAGGATAGGATTCTTGGGAAAAGCGGATTCGGAACTGTACCGCGGAGTATTGCCGGATGGGAGAGAAGTAGCACTCAAAAAGCTACAAAGAGAAGGGATAGAGGGCGAAAGGGAGTTTCGGGCAGAGATGGAGGTTCTTCGACAAAACGGTTTCGGTTGGCCGCACCCTAACCTTGTACCACTTTATGGTTGGTGCCTTGATGGTTTAGAGAAGAAATTGGTTTACTAGTACATGGAAGGCGGAAGCCTGGAAGACGTTATAACAGATCAAGTGCGGTTAACATGGCGGAGATGGATCAACATGGCGGTCGATATTGCACGGGCATTAGTGTTTCTACACCATGAATGCCACCCTGCAATTGTGCATAGGGATGTTAAGGCCAGCAATGTGTTGCTAGATAAATACGGAAGGGCCAGAGTCACGGATTTCGGGCTAGCGAGAGTTGTCGATGTCGGAGATAGCCCCGTGAGCACGACAGTTGCAGGAACCATCGGTTACGTAGCACCAGAATACGGGCATACTTGGCAAGCTACGACAAAAGGCGATGTTTACAGTTACGGGGTATTAGTAATGGAACTCGCAACCAGGCGACGAGCTGTGGACCGAGTGGAAGAATGTTTGGTCGAATGGGCGAGACGTATCATGGGGAATGGAGAAAACGGATTAGTTCAGGCCATAGTACCGGTCGCGGTTGACGGTTCAGGGCCAGCCGAGGGTACTGTCGAGATGTGCGAGCTGCTTCAGATTGCTGTCTGATGCGTTGCCGAAACACCACAAACTAGACCCAACATGAAAGAAGTGTTGGACATGCTAATTAGAATAACAAACAGTGAGGCAGATTTTACGGATAGATTGTCAAATAGTTATTAGATTACACAGGTTTACTACACTTGAACTTCTCAACAAGGAAGTGGATTGCGTTCAACACGGGTATATATATACATATATTTACCATTTTCTATGTATATAAAGGCTTGTATTTAATCAAAAAACCGTTGCTTTTTTCTTTGCGACAGTGCAGGAGTTACAAGCAAATCGACGGGATCTTTGGGGGCAGTGGTGATGGCTGTTCACGGTCGTCTCCCTACTCTTTTGTTCTCATTTTTCGTTATTTTCTTCTACTTTTACTAGTTTTCAATTTTAGTTTTATCATAGTTTAATATTAATGATTCTCTTAGCCTTTTTTTTTAGTAAAGGGTATAATGACTATCGATGTTTGTGGACTTCTGGTGTTGATTTATTTCTTAGTTTTTTTATCTTGGTCTGTATTTCAACATGCTTCTATGGATGTGATTGCTTTTCAGGGGAGATCGCCTTCTCCGTTTGTCATTTTGGATATTCTTCAAGTTTTCTCTTCTATGGTTGGTGCTCGGTGTCGATGCTTCATTTGTTCATACTTTTACTTATCAAACTATCACTAGGCGATCATTGTAAGATTTTATGATAGTATCGATTGTGTCAACAAAAACTCAAATCAATATGTGAATATTAAGTTAAAATAAAGATAAATATGAAGTTTTAACATCGAATTGAAAGTGAACTTTAGGATTCATATTGAATTTCAAAACGTTTAAATGAGTTAGTCCATATGATGACTTATTCAAGTAAAAATATTAAAATAATACAAGAGCCCAATGGCATCGAGGTTCGAGGATGGCAAAGACTCGTGATTGCCTTCAATTATTGGTGAATGAGTGCGTTTCCAAGAGCCCTAGTGGATATCTATCTTCATTGGATCCAATATGAACTAAAATGCTTGGATTTGGTGATGATTAGTTAGAAAATCATAACTTACATCTCCATAATCATAAACTTAGATAAGTTAGATTAGAGCATATACCAACTCACTATTATATACTTGGTCACATATGTTATGTACCCTAAGATCATTTAAAAGACCTTCCTCTCTAGCATTGATCTCCAAGTCACATGCCTCTATAAAAGCTTCCAAAAATGTAATCTTTTTAAAAAATTTATCGCTATTCACATCATCTTTGTATTATTTCATTGACTTGTGTTTATTATCCTCTTTCTTTAGATTGATTTAGATATATTCAAGAGTTCCAACTTTGTCACCCTAAAGTTTACTTTTATTCCTTGTACTTAGGTTATCGTCCAGAACTTCGATCTAATCTAAAAGACATTAAAATCGAATTTTAAATATGACATCCGATTCTATCTATAAATGTTACCGTACAAACATCTCATGTGGCTATGGAAAGATGGTATCAAAGATGCAATAAATAAATAGTCCAGATTGGAATTGCAATTCGAGTTTAATGATGTTTCTGTCTATTGCCGTGGAAAATCCTAGTGCAATTTTCCTTTGCCTTTTCCAGTACACTCTAAATTACAGGTGTAGGTGTGTTCATGGCCAGGTGGGTCGAATAATTTATTTTAATATTCTTTTAAATACTAAATTTATTTTTATAGTAATATGATCATTATCCGATCAATAAAAATTGACTAAAATTGATCGGATAATGGTTATATGTGACTCGACGATTCAAAATTTTACATAATAATAAATTTAATCTTAAATGTTCAATCCTTGTATCTATTTACATAATAACAAATCTCTAACAATTAAAATATACTTAGAATTCCCGATTGAATCATTTCAATCCCCACTAACCAAACAGTGGGTTTTGTGAGATAAGAGAGAGAGAGAGAGAGAAACAGTGGAAATTGTGGGCAGCAAGCATCTCTCCTCACACCCAAATTCTTTGCCTATAAATTAGAGCATGCGTGTTCCAAGCTATGACATAGTTGAGTGTGAAATGTAGAATTCTTATGACAGCAGCATTGCTAATAAATCAAAGGACGTTTCGCTCAAAGACCTCAGCAACAAGCATGCAGAGTTTTCTCTAGTCAGAGGATGGGATGAACATCACAGTCCAAGAAATCTCCTATTAGCGTTAGTAACCCCACTCTATCTTAAAGCTTTCACCACCTATAACGTGCATTCGTCCCTTAAATCATATATCGATACCCGTGTTGGATACGTATATGTGTCTTAAGAAACATGTTTACAGATTCAGAGGATGCCTTGATGTTATAGTTCTATATCCATGCGTCAAACACGAGTGTTTCAACAGAAATTTTATTACATAATAAATATTATTACTATTGTATTAAAACATGTCGTGTCGTGTCTCGAATAATCGGATCTTTCCTAATAATTGTAGGTAGGAGAAGTTGGAAAACTGTCAAAGATATTCCAATGGAAAGGAGAAGTTGAGAAAGGACTACCAAACTGGAGTGCAGATGTGTTGATTGATGCTTTAAGGGTTTAGAGTGCTAGTTGTTCTCATGTGTTTCTTCCATTTTTATGTATTATATCGTGATTTTACATGTCAAACATGATATTATCGTAGGAGAGAAGGAAATCGAGATTAGAAATCAAATAGGGAGGCTTTTACATGCCTTATTTATGGTTTTTTTAATAAAAATGTTTATGTTTAGGAAAACCATAAAGCATAACACGCTCACCATCTCCCCTCAGCAGCTCACTTTCTTCTCTCTTCACTCTTTTTTTTCCTTAAATAAAACCAAATAAAATCACCCAATAGCTCGACTCTAAGCATGGATTAACAGAGGAAACGGAGTTACCTTCGGCGTTGAAAAGTTTCTAGTCTCTAGTGAGCAACGATTATGTTCCTTCGACTCTTTGAAGGACTCTTCAACTCCGGTGGAACCAACGACGATCTTAAATGGTAAGATCTTGGTTCTTTTTCTCTACTTTCTCCCTGTTTTTTGATTACTTGATTGTTTTTTTTGTTTCGAAAAGCTCTCATTTTTTTATCTCTTCGAATGGTTCTTTTTTTTTTTTATGATTCCTCCCCTATTTGCTGTTGTCTCGTTGATATATCTGATTTGCTGAGGAAAAGGATTTTCCTTTTTCATGTTCTGCTCTCTTTCTTGAAAAGGGAGGAGCCCCTTTCATGTATATTGGTTGTTGTTTTGGTTTACCGAGGGGAAAAGATCCTCAGAGAAAAAACATCTTGCAAATGTATAATTATCTTAAATATATTAACTATTTCTTTATTTTATGATCGCCTGGAAGAGACAAAAGAAACATCTTGTTCTTTCTTCAACAATTTTTTATTTATAGTGGGCCTCTTATTAGGATTCGAACCCAGATGAAGTTTTGACCATCTATCAGAGCAAAAAAGAATGAATGGATCTTGTAGGATTCCCAAGAAATTCTTCTATTGCTTTCGGAAGCAGATGATTATTCATACGCTTCTCAAGTTCCATGAATAGTCGGGACATTGAGGAATATCCATAAAGGCATTTAGGGAATCGGTCTGATTCTATCTCCGTTAGTTCTGTTTGAAGAAAGGAAGGATCCCAAAGAATCGATCTTTCTTTTCGTTGTTGAATCTCTCTTTGATTGATCAATATGTGATATTCTGAATCCTCATTACTAATGGAATCGAAACGATCTCTGGATTGATCAGAAGATCCTTTCAATTGGCTAGAATCTGTTACTTGAACGAAACTAAATCTTGTGGAATCATATTGAAAATTTGACGATACATTTTGTACCTTGCTAAAAAATCAATCAATGTTTATCAACCATACATTGTCTAACCAAATCCAATTCTCTCTCGATATGTTCCTCAAAAAATTAGATTTGTGCGGATTCTTCCCTCAACTAACGAAGAGATCTTGGTGGAATTGCCACATATGAAATTGAGCACAATTTTGCAAAGAAATATGCCTCTTGAGAATAGATGGGAAACATTCTCAATATCATTTAATTAAATAGTTGACCCAACTCCTTATTGTTTGAAGAAACCCTCCGCTTCAATTGGTATTTTTTTCACGAAAAACAAGCATGAGGTAACAAATCCAGTCTTTCACTAAGATTTCGAATAGTTGTCCGGAGTTCAAGTTGATTATGTTTCGCCTCTTACTCGGAGAAAGACTATCAAACAATTTTCAATCATGATACTTGCGGATCGAATCATCCATATAATATACAAAAAGAAACTCCATATATTTGATATCTTTCTCTTTGAATGAGATCTCAATTTAAACGACGGTTTCATTAGATATCTTACAACTAGAATCCATATTTTTTCGATCCAGTTCCTCCACCACCGCGAACCCCAGTTAGATTCAGACATGATACACTTTTTAGTTATTGGGAGAACCCAAATATTCTCTTTCAGACCCAGGAAACATCTCTCAGATATCTTTTTTCCTTTTGGAAGATATAGGAGCAAAACAATCAACCTATTTATTTAATATATTTTTAAAAGTTAAGATAATAATATATATTTTTTAATATGAAATAAGAATAAAATATTTAAATATATTTAATATATTTTAAGTTAAGATATTTTTAAAAAAATATTTTTATGTGATGATAGAGATAAAATATATATTTTTACATTAAAATAAAAATAAAATATATTTAATAAGTTAAAAAAAATAAAAGATCATTTTAAAATTTAAGATATATAAAATATTATTATTTTTGATAAAAGCATTTACATAATAAGATATAATATATATATTATTTGTTGTCCAAAACAAACCAAATTTGGCTTAATGTTTGGTCTCCCTTATTCTAGCCAATGTCCTAGGTTTGATTCTTCTTGCTTCTTTTATTGCGCAAATTTGTTTTCTTTCAAACAGAGGGTGATATGTGTCACCCTTTGATTGTTGGAAAATAAATCTATTAAATTAAAATAAATTTAATCCTCAAATCAAATGACGACATATGTCTTAATAGGTGTCACTAATAACACATGACACCTCCTGATTCGAAGGTTAAATTTATTTTAATTTATTATAATTAGGATCAAATTGAAAGAATATATAAGTAATAGGGACCAATGTAATTATGCCAAATAGTTTAACTACCACGTCACCTACTCTGTTAAATGTTAACGGCATGTGGCTTGATTGAAGCATTTAATTAGTTGGGTTGTCTGATTGATCAAATTAAAACATTGGTGATTAAAATGATTTTCAACCATAGTTGAGTGGTCACCTGTATAGTTTACCCTAAAAAAATACATTTCGATAAATAAATTATGTGAATGTCATTTTAATATTTTTTTGAAAAATATATATTTTGATAAATTAGATACACCTAAGCCTTAAAAACCCTAACTTAACTATTCACTCGTATAAAAGCTTAACCTCAACCGATCTTCTTCATCACTTCGTTTTGCATCCCTCGAATCCCAAATCAAAAACCAGTTAATGGCAGAAAGAGGCGGCGGAGAGCGCGGCGCATTCAGGCGTGGCTTCGGCGGCGGGAGATCCGACCGTGGCCCGAGAGGCAGGCGCCGCGGCCGCAAAGATGAGGAGGAGAAGTGGGTTCCGGTAACAAAACTCGGCCGTTTAGTCAAAGCGGGAAAAATTACTTCCCTCGAACAAATCTACCTCCACTCCCTCCCAATCAAAGAGTACCAAATCATCGACCAGCTCGTTGGCCCTTCACTGAAAGACGAAGTGATGAAGACACTCCCGTCCAGAAACAAACACGTGCCGGCCAGCGCACCGTTTCAAGGCCTTCGTCGTCGTCGGCGACGGAAACGGACACGTTGGGTTGGGAGTAAAGTGTAGCAAAGAAGTTGCAACTGCTATTAGAGGCGCCATAATATTGGCCAAGCTGTCGGTGATACCAGTGAGGAGAGGCTACTGGGGGAATAAGATCGGCAAACCTCATACGGTGCCGTGTAAGGTTACCGGAAAATGTGGGTCGGTCACTGTTAGGATGGTACCGGCTCCTAGAGGTGCGGGGATTGTAGCTGCTAGGTGCCCAAGAAGGTGCTTCAGTTTGCTGGGATTGAAGATGTTTTCACTTCTTCAAGGGGTTCCACCAAGACTCTTGGTAACTTTGTCAAGGTATTGTGTTGTGTTTTCCTTTATAAGTTTTACTTGTTTGGATTTCTTGTTTAAATATTATTTATGGATTAAGGTTAATTTGGAACTCGGTTGTTATACATGTTAGCTTCAGTTGCTGAACATTGGATCGATGTTAGCTATTGTTTCTTATGTTTGTTTAATGGTTTTGGCTTGGCCAAAATAATGTTATTGGTTGTTCATTTAGCTTGGTAGAACAATGTTTATACTTGTTTATTTAGCTCAATAACGAACATAAACAAATAAACATGAACACAGCCTTGTTTTAATGTGTCCGGTTCATTTACATATGTGCACTATTGTTGCTGAGTGCATGTAATTGGAAAATTAGTGTGTCTTCATGCTTGATAGCCTGCTTATTTTCTTATTCTTGCAAATGTAAATGCAGGCCGAAGAGACTCGATTCACGAGGTCTCCTTTCCAAGAGTATATGATCTGTTGGGGAGCCATCGAAGACTCTTGTATGGGGTGAGTGACATTTAATACTATGTTGTTCTGTATTTTAAGATCATGTGCCTGGATTAGGCTTGATAAGGGGTATTTCGGAAGAATCATACAACCCATCTACCATTTGGTGTCTTGGATGACAGCTCCTGCCTCCGTGCTTCCTGGATTGTTGATTGAACATCCATCCGGATTAAGTTTAACCATCCAAGGCAAGTGTGGTACCCCTCTTACACTCACTGGAGAGGGAATAGGTTGAATCCGACGGGGAAGAGATTAGGTGTGATACTTGGCTGCCTTTAAAAGGGCCTTGGTAATGACAGAGTCAGCATGGAAGTTTCCTCCAAAGATTTTTCTGGTTCATTATGCCAAATCTTGGATTCATCCAATCCTTAAAGCTTATGCTCGGGGTTTGTCGGTTAGCGTTACTAGGACATGCTCGATTCAACCGAGCTTGGGAGATAACACAAACCCATAACAAATGTTCAATGGTTTCAGGGTGTTCGGTACAGAAAGGAAACCACTCATTGAGTTGAAGTCCTCGTTTGATAGTAAGGCCTTCTGTAAGCATGCCTAAGGTTATATAAATAAGATGAGATATAAGACATGATAGATTGTAAGTTGAATTTAATTTGATGAAAGCTTAGACAACACTTGATTCAAATGGATTTGACTCGCATTTTTAACGAGTCAAAGTGAATTACTTTATATTTGATTTGAAATTTTACGAGTAATTGAAATAAATAAAATATTAACTTTCTAAATAAATTATTAATAGTATTAATATTTAGGGGTGTTTATTTTTCTGTTTTGACCGAATTAGTTCGGTTAATTCGGTCGTCCTCTAAATTAGTTAGGTAGGAAAACGGTTAATATTTTTTTCAATATTCGGTTAAAAGTTAATTCGGTTCGAAATCTGTTAATTAACTGAAATTATTAAATATGAAATATATATTAATAATACATATTTAAGTTAAAACTCATTAACAATTAAGAATCAATTTTTTTTAACCATACTAAACTCATTAAATTATCAATACCTAATTAAAATTTTAACCCAAATAAAAAAAATATTGTTATTATATTCAAATTAATCTAATTAAATAAATTATAAAAAAATTCGATTAATTCGGTTAACCAGGCGAAATAACCGAACTTTGTTTGGTTCAGTTAATGTTTTCAAAAACAAGTTCTGTTCGGTTAACGGTTAAAGAAAAAAATTGGTTAATTCGATTAATAGAAATTTAGTTCGGCCGGTGGTCGAATGAACCGTTTGAACACCCCTATTAATATTTATATGTTGTTTTCTTTTATAAAAAAATATTGTATAAAATATTCATATACTTAAATTTCGAGTTTGATTTAAGCTTCAATTAAGTCTAAGAATGTTTTGAGTTCAAGTGTTTTTTGAGACTGAATTGAACTTTAATTATTGATTCGAGCTAAGTTCGATAGTTTTAAATTTATGAGGAGTTTTTGAGTTGAGTTTAACATTAAATTTTTTTAATCGAGTCGAAGTTAACCATAATTGAACTCCACCTTTCCAAATAGTAATCGAGTCAATGTCCTCGTTTACATGGTGGACTTTATATTTCTGCTTGCTAATGTCCCATTTCACCAATCGCATCTTATTGCAATTATCATCGCCAACCAATGCAAATCTACAATTGATTTTGTCAGTCACTTGGTTTAAGGGATTAAACCCATATAATTTCCAATGTTTTTCATATTCAATAAATTGGAAATATGATACCCTAAGAGAAGAATAGTTTTATTTATCCACATTAATTTTTTGTTCCTCAAGGATTGTATGCATGGCGTATCACGTCTGGCAAAAAGACAACGAGTTTGCAATTGGGCATTGTCCTGTTAGATACACCAAGGATTTCAAGTATGCAAGGTCTGTAGAGAGTTTGGATCGTCTTCCCTAGTTTTCACCGATAAAAGCGTACGGGGAAGATAACAAGAAGACGTCGACGGCCATGATGTCCCTCAAGTAAAATATAATATGGTAGTTTTACATTACATAAGAGAATAGAAATCGATCTGAGTGTTGAATATGAAGATACATATGACATGAAAACATTTAGTTGTTAAAGTTTATTTCAATGAAGATTCTGAATAAATATATATTAATTAAAAAAAACCGAACATGCAATTATAAGGCTTGAACAAATCTAGGTTTATGTTATACAAAGATTAATCTCAAATCTCAATCCTCTTTTACGTTTGTGATGGCAAGGACTGCTAGCTGTCTCTGTTCGATTCATTTGAGCTGACACAGTGCTGCTGCCATCTTATTGTACAGCTCCATATTCATCGACTGCAACCCAAGAAAAACGTATTAGTTGATATCATAACAAAAAGAAGCAAAATCCCAACATTTCACGACTCACGTACTTGAGTTAGGAAAGCCCAAGATGGGTCAGGAAAAGGGATGGGGCCATTAGAGCCGCCACTTGTATTCGCTTGAGTTGCTGCAGCGGAGGCTGGAGGAATCATAGGCAGCGGTGCCGCTGTCGTGAAGTGTGGCTGCAGATGCAAAAGAGATTGGGAAGCGTTGTGAGCCATGGCGCGGCGTTGAGGTCTAGCAATCCCATGCCCATTCCTAAACCATGATGGTTAACTCCCATTATCCTGCTTAAACAGACATTTGCAGCTGCTGCTGTTGGTGCAGGCCTAGAGGCATCATCATCATGGGATGGATGCTTCTCATACTCATCATTTGAACTTGTACTGAAGTTGTTTCAAGTATTCTATCACTTCGTCAAGCATTGATGCTTTATCTGTCTATAATATCGTAATTGATATTCTAATCTCAAACTTGTTAGATGTAAGTTAATTTAAACTGACTCGATTACGTTACCGAATGCTTATTACTATCTTACCTTGCTTGCATTTGGCAACCAACTTCTGTAGGGTCTTCATCTTTGATTAATTCTATCTCTTCGTTTCTGCTACAACAAAATTCAAAATGTGAAAAACCCGCAAATCTTGAACGTGATTCGAGCAGATGGAGATTGGACTGCAATTTTACCCTTTCAGACAGATTATGAATAGCTGTTGCTCGACTTCGTCTTGTCGAGTGAGATCGACCTGTTTCATCTCGACTTTCCTATAAATTTTCAGGGTTTGAGTTGAGAAAATAGTAATCAAATTGTTAAAAAGAAATGCTTGTTCTTTTTACCGATCCATCATGGAAACCAGTCGCCGCCGTCGGTGGTTTTAGTTTTCAAGCTCCGAAGAGATTCACGGGAACCCGAAGTCGCCATCGTCGCATCGTTATCGACCTTGTGAAATGTACCACTGGCGCATGCATTACGGTCAACTCTATCTTCTTGATGAATCCCGCAACTTATCACGTGTTTCCTGCATTGATCTGAATCCGACATCGACCATGGCCGTTTCTTGATCAGTAATTGACCGAGCTTTCTCCGCCAGATGATGCGCCGATTATGTTTACCGGGGTGATCCGGTCCAAGTTCGGGTTGTGCATGTGGCTTGATGGACTATGGACTCTAGTGGTCACTTGACCTACTGGTGGCTTATTGTTGGTGCAGTAGGGAGGAACCCGTTGAGCCCATGCATGGCTGCTAACTTCCGACATCGACCATGGCCGTTTCTTGATCAGTAATTGACCGGAGCTTTCTCCGCCAGATGATGCGCCGATTATGTTTACCGGGGTGATCCGGTCCAAGTTCGGGTTGTGGCATGTGGCTTGATGGACTATGGACTCTAGTGTGTCACTTGACCTACATGGTGGCTTATTTGTTGGTGCAGTAGGGAGGAACCCGTTGAGCCCATGCATGGCTGCTAACTGGCCATTTCTCCATGTTTGCCCTGCAACTTCGTAGTTGGACCTGAATTACAAGCACAAAATAAACATAAAGAGAAAAACATAGGAAAGTACATGGTAATTAAGGTGGTAAGAGTCCATACAAGGGGACAACGTTGTTAAACAAAGATCTATCGGCTTCTTCTTCTTCTTCTTCGACCTGTTGTTGTCTTGGTCTTTGGTGCTTTAGATTCCAATTTGGTACCAAACACTGACTCATGATGATGAGTTGATTCTTTCAAACTCGCTCTCTTGTTTTGTCTTAATTTATGGCCAATCTCCAGCTTTGGAGTTGGAGTTTGAACTCTCTTATTTCCTTGTGTTTGGGGTCCCATTAACATGTGGTAGCCAACAAATATTGGATATGCTTCGCCTTTCCCACCATTTTCCATCTATTTTAAAATTATAATTTTCATATTAAATTGATTCTTAAATTTATGAAAATTTTAAGTTTATTTCCAAACTATGACCATTATTCTAAATTAATCCTTAAACTTTTGAATATTCCAATAACATCATCAAAATCATTCAAATATTTAAAGACTAATATAGAATGATGCCCATAATTTAGAGATAAATTTAGAATATTCAAAATTTTAGGGGCCAAACTTATAATCATAATTCCACACAACTAGGACCACTAAGTTGTTTCAACCGTGTTCAAAGAACAAACAACCATTCATATTTCATGCAAGTAGGCTAGGAGTGTCCTAGAGTTGGACCCCGAGATTTAATTAAATTCTATTTATGTTTTATATTGTTGATCGGTGCTAAAGATTTTCATTGAAATTAATATCACATAATTTAATAATATGTGTCAAATAAATAAATTTTATCCTCATATGACACATGGTCCTTACTATTAATAAATGTATTTGGTCCGTAGAAATAGACATGTTTAGGTCTTAAACAAATGATTTTAACTATCGAATAGATTCGGGTATTTTAATAAAAAAAATTTGTTTAAAAAATAAAATGTAATATTTAATGTCGATAAGTGTTTAATCTTAAGATTAAATTTAAGATTTTATAAATTCGAGTCAATATAATTTAATTTTAATTATTATCTGATAATAAAAACTTTTTATTTGATTTTAATTATAGAATATAGAAAATAAATTGATATTATTGTATCAACTAATTTAATTTCGAGTTACATTTTACGAATATTTTATTTGTATACTGATAAAATTAAGTTATTTTACAATAAATACATTGACAACGATGTTTAAACATTTATATTCAAATAATAAATAAGAACTAAAAATCTGTTTTCATTTTAAGTTTAAACTATGGTCTGAAAACCTATCTACTAAAGGCAATAGATTTTGATTTGTTCTCAACCAGACATTGGAAGCAATGCCACGTGGACCTATGGCGATTGAGCCAGATATCACCCTCTTAGATGACCACCACGTGTCATAGTCAGTCATTCTCTTGCATTAAATTTGATAATGAATCTCAACGGCCCTCCTTGTTAATGTCAACCTAATGTTTTTCTATGTGGACCACAGAAAATTACATTTTCTAATTTCTATGCATGAATTTAAGATTTTATTTTATTTTTAATTATCAGTCTGCAGTCTAATAATTCATATTGATCCTTTTAATTTTATTTTTTCTATTTATAATATTAGAATTTAAATTTTTAATTCCGTTTAAGGAACGTACCACTTCATCTCACTAGACCCATTTCTATTTTCACTCACTTTATAGATCATAAAAATAAAATATATATTACAATATAAATTAATAAAATTTTAATATAAATTTTATTTAAAAATATAAAAATATGGATTTAGATTTACAAATTCAGTAAAATAATTTAGATCACAATAAAATAAGCATATAATAATGATCAAATTGTGTCAAAGGTGCTTGGCGAAAAAGGAAAAAATTGTATTGAATGACTTTCATAATTCAATTTTGGTGGATTTAATCATTGTAGTATAATTTAATTATTTTTAATCCCTTGACTTTTAAAAATGTTTATTTTCAGTCACCAAATTAACTTTTTTTTCCTGGTAGTTTTGCCAAATAATTTGACATGATTTATTTTTATAAAAAAATTATGATAATGCAATGTATAAATAATGGTAGTTTTCATATTGTTAGAAAAAAATTTATTTATCCAACAAGTAGGTAGGTAATCATAAGTTCAATTCACAATGTTAGAAATGAAGTAAATTAAACTGTGAGGATCTCCTCCCTAATCACCTTCACAGTATTTGATTTAGAATAATCGATTAAAATCTAACTCTTCATTTCATATCAAGTTGGTATCAACATTTTCATTCACAGGACTTATATCTTATGTTTGTCACATGACGTTCTTCATGCACAAATATTTTTTTTATGTTGTGTGTGGTGTAATTCAGAAAGAAACAGGAAACAGGAACAACTCCCGAAGCTCTCATTTGCTTTGATTTGTCTTTGATCTTCAATTCCTCGTTTCTTCTCTTCTCGTCAATCTGAGCTCTTGCTCCACCTGCTATTTCATCGATTCTCGATATTTTCAACTCGTAAAGCTGATGTCTCCTTTTCATTTTTTTCTCCAATTCTTTCTGCATATTTCAAATGAAAATTTCGATATTTTTTAACGTAAAATCTTACATTCGAGTTTTATGAATAAAATAAACGGATGCTAGATAAAAATTCTTCCTTTTAAGTTCAACCCAACTTGATTCTGAAATAATTATAATCCAAGGTGATTGTTTTATACAAAATATGTATGTATTTTGATCTGATTCGGCTTACGAACATATTCGTATGGTATCGAAGAATATCATACAGTGAAATTAATTAAGCTAAAAGTTGAGGGCTAACCTTTCTTCTTTCCATCTTGATTTTGGCTCGCAGCTTCTTTTCCTTCTCCCATGCAAGAATTGATGCTTTCATTCTCTCATATCTAAATGAAAAGTTAAAAAAAATCTGACTAGAGATCGAATGGTTCGGATATCTAGTTTTCAGTTCAATCAATTTTCATTTAAATTTAAAATTCTGATTCGAACCGGATTAACTCGAACCTAATCTGAATTGAATTTAGGTCCGGGATCTTAGATCCATTGAAAATAAGAAGTAAGTACCGTTTGTTAAGTTTGTCCAACTCAGCTTTCTCCCAATCGTCTGCTTTAGTCTCCAAAGCATTGCGTTGGGGATAGTTTCCCTTCAACCTTTGGTCTCCAGCTGATGAACCACCAGCTTTTCTAGTTTCCATTGGCTTTCTGCTGCAAGATTGGCCTGCAAAACAAACAAATTTCATTGTTGAAAAATGAAAATAGATTCGAATCGAGTTTAATCAATATATTTATTCGAGCTTTTGTTTAAATTTAAATATAATTATTTATAATACTATAATACTGATCGGATCCACCTCTCTAATCAAATATTTTCTTTTTTACTATTACCTGCAGTTATGACTTGGTTGCTAGAGTATCGCCTGGTAACTCTATCTGGATTCCGAACCCTAGATATGGTATCTTGCCTCGATCGCTCTATCGTGATCCTATGTCGTGCTTCATCTTTTTCGATGGAGTTGACAACATAAGCAGCCGCTGCGACTCCGACGGCAAACTCCGTCTCATACTGCCGGACCTTATTCATTTTCTCCGACAAAGACTGTGTCGCGGGACCAGGTTCAGAACATTGAAACACCTTTTTGACTTGATATACGTAAGTTCCTGCATGATTAATGAATTGTAATGTATGCACGTAGCGTACCTTGTTTGATTGATGAACTTTGTGGTTATGCAGAAGCTTTGATCACATATATGTTGTCGGATGTCATGTTGGGAACTGTTTGGTTTTAAATAAGACTTGAGATCCATTGGCTGTTGATTGGAACAAAAACGCTTGGAGATTAAGAAACTGCCTCGAGCTGATGTATAAATGAAAGCAAAGAATCTGTGTCTCTCATGCATTATATTCCGTTACCAATCGTAAACTCTATTACATGCAATATTATTATATCTGAATTTTTGATTAGGTTAATATTTAAAGAATGGTGAGATTGTGAAGAAATGGTGTATAAAGCAAACTTAAGCTTTAGTTTAGAAGGTTGAAAGAAGGGTGGAATCAAATGAAAAAGGTATCCCATTTTGATGCAGCAATATATGCCTTATCGGCTTTGAATGGAAGGGTATAATGTCACGTGGGTGGGTATGTATGCCCAATTTACACAAGCAAAAGCTTTTGTTTGTAACACTAATTCTATTATTGTTCGGTTTAAAAAATTACAATATAATTTTTTATTAATATGGACTAAGTATAAGGTAGTATATGTTTAAAGGTAACTTTAAATCATTTGACAATAAATTCTTACGCTTCTAACATTCATAGTGCTCGAATCCAGAACATCAAGGGATAACAACAATTCTTTTATTACCGAAATCACTTATTTCGTACAATTTACGATATAATTTAAATAAATTAAAATTTTTATATCCGAGGATTTTAAGATTGATATCTTTATGAAATAGCTCAAATTACTTAATAAAAAACAATCAAATTGCTTAACAATAGACACGATCACGATAATCAATGACATGAGTTATTAAGGAGCATTTATGAATGGAGCAGGATTGTAGTGAATCTCTTTCTCTGATCCGACCTATTAACAAATATATTGCTTGATGGCTCAATGGATGAGGATGAAACAGTGAAGCTTGGCCCAACTTTCAAAAGGTCCATTAAGAAGTTCGCCTTCTGTTCCATTCGATTTGCAGGAAAAAAGCACAAAATTCATGACCGCAACAACGAGAAAATCCTCTAAAAGAAATTAAACCCCGACCGTAAATCTTTCAAAATTCACGCAAATGCACCAGTCACAGCAACAACCGCAACAATCTTCATTCACGTAACTTCCTCAATCCTCTACTATCATATCCTCAACCACCACCGACTTATCCCTCCCACCAACAATTTCTGTACCCTTCGGGAACAGACCCCTATGCCCATCAGCATCAGTTCGCCTTAACCCAAGCTGGATTTGAAGTGAACGCTCAGTTTTATGAGCACCCAAATGGGGCTTATCAGAGTTGGATCACTACACACGCTGATCCCATTACGTGTGATCCTAACGTTTGTTCTTCTTTCCCTTTCTTTTGATTAGGATTTTGGATTTTTTTATTTGAAATTCGTTACTATTTGTTTGATATTTCAACTATTTTAGGTCCAGCATTGAGTTTTTTTCCCAACTGAGAATCATTCATTGGCCGTGGAATTGATGCTTTCTGGAATATATGTAATATATATGCATGTGTGTATGTATATGTCATTCATTTATCCTTAGTATATATAGGAGATTACATGTGCAAGATATTTTTGTAATGGAAGGGGTGATGTTTTGTTTCGGATTAACTACTACCTATGTTACTCGGACTCGGTTTTTGAGTATCGTTTATACCCGGAAATGTGATGGAATTGGGTGTTAGCGACAGATATTTCAAGGGAAATGAAGAATCAGAGCAATGTAGATGAAATTCTGTCTTATATTTTAAAGTGTCTCTTTGATGAATAGATGAATGGTGTTTAGTCGTTTGGATTTTTTATACTTCATACATTTTGGGGTTTGCAGCCGTCGATAGTGGCTTTGAATTCCAACGATTGGTTGATTCAGTCCTCGGTGAATAATTTAGTTAGCACACCAAATCAAACTGGGCTGGTCCAACCAATGAAATGATGTTTGCAATATTGAATGCAACACAAAAGATATTTATGACAAACACATCGCAGGAAAGAAGCATCGAAGGAACCTGCAAGAAAAGATTAGCTCCAGTATTGCCGTACTCGAATCTTCCAATGCAATGATACTCGGGGCTTCCAGTGTGGTGAATGCTCAAGAGTTGGAGAGGAAGAAGCAAAAGCTTTTAAATTCTGGGGCAGCTGTTAACTCTGTTCGAATGTGCACCATATGCAACGTTGCTTGTAAAAGCTTTGAAGTGTTTGCGAAACATCTTTCCGGGAGGAGGCATCCTGCTCAGGTAACATTAATTATTAAACTAGGAAATCTCGAAGTAGAGTTAAATGCCAAGTGTTTTCGATTTATTTTATATTGATTTAAGCTTGCATACATGTAAGCATTATTTTCCACTTGCCCATCGCTGCCTGCTCGTAGATGCTTCCTTGTAACTTTTTCTCAATCCGAAACCTATTTTTGATAATCCATTTGTTATATTTGCAAGTTAAAGGGGGGCTCGGCCGTTAAATATGATTCTTTTATGTACATGTGATCATGCAGGCTGGACTAATAGCTGTGATGGCATTGGACCTTATCTCGCTGCGATCCGAGCTAATGATCACTCTTGGAATAAAGGCAAGAAGACAGCGAAGATCCTTCAATCTTCTTGGTGTGATGTCTGCCAAATTAACTGCAACAGCAACGATGCCTATGCAAAACACTTGTCCGGGAAAAAACACCTAAAGAACTTGGAGAATTTAGAAAAATCAAAGAATCCTTCCATGGGTACACCAGCTGGAACAGATCTGATGATTAAACCTGTATAGAACCCAGCAGTGGCAGCACAGCCCAAAGCATCAAAAGAGAGGATTTGGAGACTAAGAAACGGAAAGTTATGGAAGGCGGAGCGGCTGCTGCTGCAGTTAGAGTATGCACCATCTGCAATGTCGTATGCAACAGTCAAAAGGTCTTTGACTTTCATCTTACCCGACAGAAGCATGCCGCCATGGTAAAGAGGCAAGCCGACGCCAGAATAGCAACTGCCACTACTACTTAGAAGGAGAGCTGAGCTGCCACATAAAGCCAATGCATGTAGATTTTGTATCGGTCGTTGCGGTTGTTACTCGGATTTGTATGTGGCATCCGTACGGACTGAGTCTATTGTCTAAATTGAACTCCTGCTTTGTCTGCTGTGTAAAGCGTTGTATAAATTGGTTCCGCCCCATTTATATCTTCATGAGACGCGAGTACAATGCTATTTCGTTATATATTTTTGTTTCAGGGGGGAAGAAACTAAATTCAATTCAAATTTTGAATGACCATTAGAGATAGTAGGGTCGGGTTGACTTTGATCCGAGAATTTTATATTTCAACCCGACACCTAACTTTATAGAAGAATCTTATACGTCCCGATTTAGATGGGATGAGAGAATGAAAATCTATCCCGACTTTATCCGATTCGACGTAAAAAAATTAAGATTTTACACAAGATAAATAAATAAATCCAAAAAATTTAATATTAATTTAGAATTGAAGAATGAATGATGATAATTTTAATATAAATCGAACAGCCTAAGAAATTGTATAAGAGATTTATAAGGCCAATGTACATGTAGCATGTAACATGTTTATTTATTTATTATTATTATTAAAAAAACTTGAGGGTCAAAATGAATATCGACTCATATTTCAAGGGTTAAATTATCTATTAATTTATTTCATTTAAAAGTGTTAATTTAATCCTCAAACTATGCCTCTTATTCTAAATTGGTTTCTAAATTTTTGAATTTCCAATAACATCCAAAAAATATTCAAAGATTTGGGGACCAATATAGAATGAGGGTCATAGTTTGAGGGTGAAATTATAATGTTCAAAAGTTTAGGGACCATTTTAGAATGAGAGTCATAGTTTAAGGATGTAACTGGAATGTTCAAAAGTTTAAAGACAAAATTAGAATAAGGGTCATAAATTGTGAATGTGTAGTGCAATTAAATCGATTAACTAGGACAATTGAGGGGGACTTGGGAGATATTTTTACCTTCGATTAACCCTTTTCTATAATTTATTCAATAGTTCATAAAGATTGGTAAGTGGCCCCCCAATCTCTGTCGGCAACGGTCAACACAAAGAGACTAAGTAAAAATTACTGTAGAAATATATATTTTATATAAACGGTGGTGGCCAACTGGCCGTTGGCGGATCTCCACTGTAGCTTATAAATATACATAAATTATATGAAATTTACTAATTTAGAGTTTAATTTCAGTTTGTTTGGGGTTAGACTTAGATCTTTGTCGCTGCTCCGAAACTATGGTTTCCCTTTGGCCACTAACTTTGATTTGCATTTTAGCCTTTTCAATCTCCATTACTCACTGCAAGACTCTCAAGAGAGATGGTCAGTTTTTCCTTTTTGCTCCTTCCACTTAGATCTTCCCTTCATTGTTCTGTTTGATTGCTGAGAAAGTTTAGCTAGAAAATAATTGGTAATTTTTTTTAAAAACCCAGGATGTCATTTTTTTTATTAAAATGTAAAACGCACCATTTTTTGGTTCCAAATTAACGTTTTCTTTTAGTAATTGTATTCTTTTTGCTTCTTTACTTATGTTTTCATCTTCTTTAGAGATGGTTTTTTTGCTTAATTATTTGTCAGTCAGATCTTTGCTTGCTACTGATTTAGCATGAATTAGTTTAGTGCAACTTCAATTGATCTTTGGTTAAGAATTAAGATCTAAGAATCTTTTTTCTCAATGAACTTGGTTTTCATGTAGAATTGGAGTTTTCATCATTGAGAAGATTAAAATAGAATGTAAATCTGCTTGATGCAACGGCGTGATATTTGATGTTTGTGTTTTCATTGTAGTGAAAGCCTTAAATGAGATAAAAGCATCACTCGGATGGCGAGTTGTATATGCGTGGATCGGGGATGATCCTTGCGGAGATGGGGATTTACCGGTTTGGTCCGGTGTAACTTGTTCGACTCAAGGAGACTATAGAGTTGTTACTGAATTGTAAGTAATGAACTCTAAGAAATTCTATGCATTATATGGTTATTAGTGAAACGGTATGTCTTTTCTTCACAAATGCAATCTAATCAACAATGCAAAAGCCTTCCGCTATCAATTCTCCTTCTATGTTGAAATGAATACTGTTTTACATGATTGAATTTATATAGATTTTCCTTCTCATCATATGTTTTAGTTTGATTGGTATCTTCTCATTTTAGAGGCTAGGGGACACATATTCGAGTGAAGACTTTTCTGCCTTGATTCATTGTTGTTTGTTATTCTATAGGGTTTTATTGACTCTGACTTTAGATCATGATTATTGCCATTTTCTTTTACAGGGAGGTCTATGCAGTATCGATTGTTGGTCCTTTTCCTATTGCTGTTACTAATTTATTGGATTTAACAAGACTGTGAGTTCATTCTTTCTCATCCATTAAGTCTTAGAGGTCAATGAAACATGTTCCTTTTTTTTACTGTATCCGAGCTTTAAATTACAAGATCAAGTTCGGGTTGACATCAATTATTTCAAGTCTTTTAGGAGTTTGAATAATGCATATACTTGAGTTTCATTTCCTGCTTCTGGTCTGTAGAACATGCAGATGAAATTGGCATTTTAAATTAGTAAGCATGCATGAATAAATACGCCACTTTTGTACTTTTCTTATACTTTCTAGTATGAAGTGGATTAAAAATTGAGAAAAAGAACACTCACCGATAACTTGAAAGCTTGATGCAATCATGGATTCTTTAGATATAACCCTTGTATCTTTTCAATTAATCGCCTTGCATGTGTAATGTGGATTTACGTGTGCTTAACTTGTACATCACTCAATTCAAATTCGATGATTTTAATGTTCACATAAATTACACTCCGCCGAAATAGTGATGAAATTATATAATATCGTATTATGTGGTTAGTTGTGGTTCTCACTTACGGAAAAACATTTATACTTACAAAATAGTCATTATTGTCTATTAGCACTATCATGTAGATGTTCTAAATGAAACTTCTTTCCTTGTTGACTTTGCTAATGTGACAGGGATCTCCATAACAACAAGTTGACTGGCCCAATTCCTCCTCAAATTGGCCGACTGAGACGACTTAGAATGTTGTATGTTTTCTTCATTAGACTGTTATGCGGCAGACTTTAGAATTACTCTTTCTCTCTGAATATCAGTATGGATCAACCCGTTTCATATACTTTATACTGCATTTTGCCACAAGAGAAAAAAATTTATGATTTCCGGGTCTTTATCATTAGTGAAGTATTTGCTCTGAAGTACGCTATACACCAGTTAGGCTGTAGCTTGTTGGTATGTCACTTGTGATTGTTGGGTACAATTATGCATCGAACATGTAAATGTGTACTTTTTTCTATGGTTTTATATATTGGAGGGTCAAATCCCTATACTCATATCCAAAACATATGTCAGACAGATTTTGGACACGGGTACTTATAGAAAAAATAGTCAGGACTCGAGCATCATAGGAAAAGTTCTATAAAATATTAAAACCTTACCAGCATTTCCTATATTATACTCATCAGTGGATCCAAGCTTTATATTTCAATATTAACCATGTTGTGATATCTAGACCATATTTAAAAGCACCATTCATTTTCGATGAAAGAATGACAGATAATGTCGACAAAAACAATTTATTTCGTTAAAATTTGGTTATCTTCCATCTGTGAATATGTTTCTTTCAATTTCCAATGACCAACTTCAATGTATTGCATAGAAATTTGAGGTGGAATAAGCTCCAAGATGTCCTTCCCCCCGAGATTGGTGAGCTTAAAAGACTGACCCATCTGTGAGTAACTTTCTCTTATATTTCCCGGAATATCTCTCTCCGTATTGAATGTGTTTCAGTGTTTGTATATACATGCATGTTGGAATGAGTTCGGAAATATCTAATTGAAATTTCTTCAGGTCCTTGAGCTTTAACAATTTTAAGGGAGAGATTCCAAGGGAGCTCGCAAATCTACCTGAGCTCTGCTATCTCTACCTTCAAGAAAACCGTTTCACTGGGCGAATTCCACCCGAATTGGGCACTTTACAAAACCTTCGACACTTGTAATATACTGTACTTTTTGCTTTATCTTATTACAACGATCTTTCTTTCATTATTACGCCGAAAACTCATGTTTTTTTCTTCAGGGATGTTGGTAATAATCATTTGTTCGGTACGCTTCGGGAGCTTATTCGTATTGAAGGCTGCTTTCCAGTTCTACGCAATCTGTATGTTATATTTTAATTGTTAATGTGTTACGAAACTCATTGCTAATTATTTTTGTGCAATGACTTGTTTTCCATGTGATCGAGTGCAAAGTTGCTTAAGTTTGCGTTTGATGCACAGATATTTGAATAACAATTATTTGACTGGAGGAGTCCCGGCTCAGCTCGCAAATCTGACAAATCTGGAGATACTGTAAGTTCGAATAACGTTTCGATTTAAGTAATAATCTAACCAATTTGTATTTATGGGTCAAGTTTCAGTATCCCTTGCTCTTCTCTTACTTTTTTTGCATTGGTTGCAGGTACCTTTCATACAACAAGATGTCTGGAGTGATACCAACAGCACTCGCCCATATTCCGAAACTGACATATTTGTGAGATTTTCTAAAACACTGGAGTCTAGTTCGATTTAGAAATACGGACTAATTCTGTTTCCGAGTCTCTCACTTTCTTCCTGTTAAACGTGTTTTCTTTTCGTATACTTTTTGCTACGCTTAATGTCTACTCTGGAACGTCGATGATTACAGGTACTTGGATCATAACCAATTCTCAGGACGGATTCCCGACGCATTCTATAAGCATCCTTTATTGAAGGAACTGTGAGTCGTTTTCGTCGCTTAGTTTACGAGCCAAGAAACCACAAACGTGGGGAAGGAACAAATATCTAACCCTCTTTTTTACACGAATTCCAGGTACATCGAAGGGAATGGGTTCCGACCCGGAGTAAACCCCATTGGTGCACACAAGGTCCTTGAACTCTCAGACGCAGATTTCTTGGTTTAGGCAAAAAGCTGTGGAGAAAACCCAACCGAATTTTCAATCAATATTGCATTCTTTTGTTTCCCTTTTTTAGTTAGTTGTTTCAATAGAATATATATTATATATGGCGTCTTAGGTAAAACAGCTGAAAGCTGGAAGTGAAGATACATAAACGATGGAATATCACACTTCTATTAATGAAAGAGTAAACTACACTATTAAACTTTTAATCTTATCAATTTTAGCATTAACATTTATTTTTAAGTGTAATCATGTTACTCTGTCGTTAATGATTTAGTTAATGATTTAATAAGATGATGATATGGCAGTTGTGCGTCGTACCGTTGACGTGATTGCTTCACCAAGATGACATTGTTTTGGGTATCATTTTGGTGTGATTATTTCGAAAACTTAAAATAATTCATAAATAAATACTTTATGGAAAAATACTTTCCATGAAATTTGAACTAAAAACTTTTGAAAATCAATATTTAATACTCAACCACCGAACTAAATTAAGAATTTATTATATTTTTAACAAAATTAATATATAGGTTTAATAGCACCCATTAAGTTATATAACAAGAATATAATCAGCACCACCGTCATCAATGATTCAACGCCCGACTCCAACGACTTCCCGGCAAGATTCAACTGATATTCCCTCTCAGTATCTTCCCAAACCATCTTCAACGTCTGGCTCTCCTCATTCAACCGCCAAACATGCACTCAATACCCTCGCCATAACCTTCAACAAGCTTCACTTTCTTCAAAGCTTTGATCGATTCTTTGGTCGCCGGAACTAGCTTCGGAGCTTCTCGCATCGACAACTCCATAGCCATTGCCGCTGACTCATCATATTGTTCCCGCCTCAAAATCTTTTTAACTCGAAATATTATCCTTATCATGTCAAATCCCTTATTATTGTGATTCTTCTCTTTTTTCTAAAATCGAGTTCGCATCGGTGAAAGCTCGATCCAATATCGTTTCAACTTTCAAGGCCGCGTTGTTCGAGCCATCCGACTTTGAGTAAACGACGAGCACATTATTGTGGTGTTGATGGGACCCAAATACAAATTCTGGCCAAACAGAGAAATCCTCCTGCGAATCATCCTCTTGAAAATGGCCATTATCATCCTCGAGAAACTTGTGAATATGAAGTAGGAAATCGATTTGGGAAATGCGAGGAGCCTTGGTTGGAGTCAGAGAGTAATCTACCGTCATTTGAAACCGAGGTTCCCGGATTGCCATTATCAACACTGGCTACTCTCTTGAAGAAAAAAAACCCACTATCAACACTGTCCGGCAAGATTCAACTTTGATGATGGTAGTGCTGGTTATATTCTTGTTATATAACTTAATTGGTGCTATATATATATATATTAATTTTGTTAAAAATATAATAATTTCTTAAGTTAGTTTGGTGTTTGATTTTAGTTATTAAATATCTTTATTAGTTTGAATATATGGAAATTATTTTTAAGTCGTTTTGAATTTTTTAAACATCAAAGTAGTTGCGCCAAAATAACGTCGTTTGGTGATACAACCACGTTAGCAATATCACGATGCGTAACTGCCATGTCATTGTCTCGTTAAGTCATTAACGACAGAGTAACATAATTACACTTAAAAATAAACATTAGTGCTAAAATAAACAAAATAAAATATTTAGTGATATAAACAAGTTTGCGTTTAAGTTTTGAAGGAATCCGGTGTAGTTTACCCTTGATGAAATTTCAACACGTTAGCTAATATGGTCTCTCTAGTGTTGCTTGTTTCCCTTCAACATAGGGCGGGATAAAGTTGAAAAATGATATATCCCAACATGTATATGATAATATAATTTATAAATATAATAATTCAAATATGAATAGAATACGGGGCTACCCAGTTCGAACAAACAAGTCAAATTACATCTAAAGCCCCACATCCAGCGATTAAAAAAATAAAATAATTAAATTACTAAAAGGACCTTTCTCCAAGTTTAGTTGTATGATCTCTAGAGCCTTGAGACTATCTCTTACGCACAGCAGGCATGTTCTTTCAACCAAGGATCCAGCGGCTTCCCGATCGAGTACACGATGAAACCAATATCCCTTAACATCTCGACATTCATGACGTTACGACCGTCGAACACAAATGCCGGCTTCTGCATGTTGTCGAAAATTCTCTGGTAATCGAGCGTCTTGAATTCATCCCATTCCGTAAGAATGCACACAGCATGAGCATCCTTGGTTGCGGCGTAAGCATCCCAAGCGACGCTCACTTGCTTCACCGAAGTGGGACTCATCGGCTGGAGATGAATCGGGTGATCCCAATCAAACTTGTTCATCGTCAAATCCCTCTGGATCTGATCCTCCGTGACCTGTGGATCGTATATGCTCAACCGTGCCTTATCACCCAACAGGCCTTTGCAAACATCGATGGCCGGAGTCTCCCGCGTGTCGCCTGTATCCTTCTTGAATGCAAATCCAAGGATGGCAATTTTCTTACCTGCCACTGTGTTGAACATCGACGACACGACCCTATTTACGAATCGGTTCTTCTGGTAATCATTCACTTTAATAACTTGTTTCCAGTAGTTTGCAACTTCAGGCAGTCCATTACATTCACATATATAGACCAAATTCAATATATCCTTTTGAAAACAAGAACCACCAAAACCAACACTGGCATTCAAAAACTTTGGTCCGATTCTCGAGTCCTTACCGACGGCATGGGATACTTGGGAAACATCGGCACCGGTGGCCTCACATAGAGCTGACATTGCATTAACCGAGGAGATACGTTGAGCCAAAAAGGCATTGGCCGCAAGCTTCGAGAGCTCGGCGGACCAAAGATTGGTCGTAATGATCCGGTCTTCGGGCACCCAATGGGCATAAACATCTTTCAATGCTTGAATTGCCTTTAAACCCTCAGGGGTTTCCCTGCCTCCAATTAGAACCCTGTCCGGATTAAACAGGTCCTGAATTGCAGTTCCTTCGGCTAGAAATTCCGGGTTCGATAGGATCTGATATTTGATCCCTTTGCTATTGTGCATCAGGATCCGTTCGATCGCTTCCGCCGTTTTCACCGGGACAGTCGACTTCTCGACGACGATTTTGTTCGATTTGGATACATCAGCAATCATCCTGGCTGCACTCTCCCAATATGTAAGGTCAGCAGCTTTGCCAGCTCCAAGGCCTCGGGTTTTCGTTGGCGTGTTCACGGAGACGAAGATTATATCTGCTTCAGAGACATGTTTTTCGACGTCGGTGCTGAAGAACAGGTTCTTTCCCCTGCACTGCTTGACCACCTCATCAAGACCCGGCTCGTAGATCGGCAATTGATCACCATTCCAGGCCGAGATTCGAGAAACTGAGATGTCGACGACGGCTACTTCAATCGAAGGGCAGTTGAGTGCAATGACTGCCATTGTTGGACCTCCAACATAACCAGCTCCAATGCAACAAATCTTCACCATTTCTTCGGGTTTTACACAACCTAAAAGAACGAGAGATTAGCATTATTTTGCAAACACTAATTTCCATCAATGATTGTTGATTAAAAATAAATTTTCTCGGGAAACAAACACTGCTCTTCACTCAATGATTACAAACAAACATAATTTTTCTTATATTAAATCCTTATCCGACACTCAACGTGATCGTGCACGATTTCCAAGGAAGATAGAGTTAAATAAAGAAAATGGGAAATCTAATAGCAAAACATATCATACATAAACAACTTTTCTTCACTTAAACATTCAATCATACATACTAAAGGCAAACCGAAACAAAACAAAACATTCACGAGGAGAAGCTCAAATCATACCTTGAGAAGTAGCCAAGAAAAGAATTCGAGAGAAACCAAAAGGCAAGAGGAAGAAGAATATAATAAATGATATAAAAGACCCAATAACAAGAGCTCCTTAAATAACCCCAAAAAAAGTGAAATTACTCCAGATCTAAAGTGTAGCTTTCACACATAAAAGTAAAGTCAGATTTTCAGAGAAAAGGGAAGAAGGGGGAATGTTCAACACGTTTTCAAAGCAACACCAATGACTGTCACCTGTCAAAAACTGTTCATTTTATCATTTCACGCTAAAGGAACACACTTTGTAAATATTGGGATTCGGGATTTTGATTTCCGTTTTATGAATTTAATGGAATTTGAAGAATTGCATTGCATTGAATTTAAGTTTGGTTAGTTTTTTAAAGAATCGATGTTCTTCTGACAGCATAGGTAATTGCCTATTGGGCAAATGGCTCAACTTTTTACACCCAATAAGCGTTCTGCAATGTATACGTTTCTTTCTCCCGGATAGTTATGCGGTGCGGCGTCTAAAAAACGGTTAATATATAGTGTGATCGGTTAAATAATTGATCGATTAAAATTTATACCGGTTATGTTATATTATTTAACCGGAAATATTATAAAGTACAATAACATACTAGGTAGCGCTTATATAATGTAATAGGTAGCGCTTATATTTACCTATTTTATAAGTAAACCGGTATATTTATACCGATAGTATTACAAATTTACCTATTACATTATATTATATTGAAATTGTTCATACTTTTTATAAAAAGGATCGATATTTCTTTTAAAGTTATGTAATTTATGTTTCAATTTTTTTAATAGTGTTTCATGTTTTCCACCTACAATATTAATTTAATAATTTCATTTGCACAAAAAATTATTTGATTATTTGATATTTTATAAAATATTATTTAGAATTTTTAATTAATATATAAATATCGTAACGTAAAAATAAATCATTAGACGCCTATAATTACTAAATTAATATCTTAAAACTCACTCAAAGATAACCTTAAATTAATGTTTTCCACAAAAAAAGTATTGACACTTTTATAAAAAGGAGACACTTTACAATATAACCACTACTATTACATTATATAAACGATACCTATTACATTATATAAGCGCTACCTATTACATCATATTTACCTATTATATTGAAAGTGTCCATACTTTTTATAAAAAGGATCGATACTTCTTTAAAGTTATGTAATTTATGTTTCATTTTTTTTAATATGTTTCATGTTTCCACCTACAATATTAATTTAATAATTTCATTTGCACCAAAAATTATTTGATTGTTTTGATATTTTATAAAATAATATTTAGAATTTGTAATTTAATAATAATATATATCGTAACGTAAAAATAAATCATTAGACGCCTATAATTACTAATTAATATCTTAAAACTCACTCAAAAGATAACCTTAAATTAATGTTTCCACAGTGAAAAAAATATGGACATTTTTATAAAAAGGATAGACACTTTACAATATAACAACTACCTATTACATATATACAACCTACCTATACATTATATAAGCGCTACCTATTACATCATATGTTTACCTATTATATTGAAGTGTCCATACTTTTTTAAAAGGATCGATACTTTTTTAAAGTTATGTAATTATGTTTCAATTTTTTTTAATAGTGTTCCATTTTTCCACCTACAATATTATTTAATAATTTCATTTGCACAAAAAATTATTGATTTTTTGATATTTTATAAAATATTATTTAGAATTTTTAATTTAACAACATTAACCAAGATAATAATAAATATGTAATATATATATGAGCTTTGGATTTTGATGAGCATCGGAAGTATTTCTGACTTATGTTTGGGTGGTACTCAGAAGCATTTCGGATGATTTTAGTTGCTATTTGTTGCCACCCAGATCATACGCCCGAAACGTTTATGACGCTTTAAAGTTGACCAAAAATACAATGGTCGGGATTTCCCTCGCGTTTAAACGTTGGAAAAAAACAATGGAAATTAGGAATAATCAATGATAACATGCATATTGGCTTGGCTAATATTTATAGTGGAGCCGAAATATATATTGAAATTCAAACTCAAATTGAAATTTAAATTCAAACTCCAATTACATATGAAATGAATTTGAAATGCAGTGATAAATTGAACATGAAAATTGCATAAGATTCATACTGTTTCAAGTACATGCTTTATGAACCATCAAGCTAAAAGACAATATTGATTGAGTTCAAAGCTGAGTTGTGAGTTGATGGAGTTGTCACACTTGTCACATGGTTGGAATAAAGTAATTTGATTTAATAATTTTATTTGCACAAAAAATTATTTGATTGTTTTGATATTTTATAAAATAATATTTAGAATTTGTAATTTAATAATAATATATATCGTAACGTAAAAAATAAATCATTAGACGCCTATAATTACTAAATTAATATCTTAAAACTCACTCAAAAGATACCTTAAATTAATGTTTTCCACAGTGAAAAAGTATGGACTTTTAAAAAGGATAGACACTTTACAATATAACCACTACCTATTACATTATATAAACGATATCTATTACATTATATAAGCGCTACCTATTACATCATATGTTTACGTATTATATTGAAAGTTACCATACTTTTTATAAAAAGGATCGATACTTTTTTTAAAAGTTATGTAATTTATGTTTCAATTTTTTTAACAGTGTTTCATGTTTTCCACCTACAATATTAATTTAATAATTTCATTTACACAATATTAATTTAATGTTTACCTATCATATGGTGTCTTACCTTCTCACAGTCGGTGAATTTCACATAGTTATCCAATATAACACCCCAGAAGGTAGAAATACTCTCAACACTTTCTTTGTTGTTGGCATCCAACGCCTGTTGCTGTAATTACGCAACAAACATTATTAATTTATCGTCTATAACACTACTTTTCAATATTTATTAATTTAACTCACCACTAAGAGGTATGGAAGGTAGCCAATCCTCCGGAGTGACTTTTGAGAATCGTAACATATGTCCAGGCGAGCAAATCGATAACCTAACAAATTAATTACACAATCAGAATATTCAATAAGTTTTAACATTTTCTACTTTCTACTTACCACACCGCCAACCCATTCCGTAGGCTTCAACGTTGCAACGTCGTATACAGTAGCGAATTGATTTCCCATTGAGATTACAGAATATCTGTATGAATCATTAGGATTAAATATTGTCATGAAATATTTAAATATCACTCACAAAACAATATATTTCACTTACCCCGATTCTAACTCGCTATTCCATAAATAATCACAAATTGCAGCTTCGATGTCATCAATTCGCTTGGAATATCCGCTTTTTCAACCTACAATTTTGCATACAAATTTTTGTCACAACATAATAAAATCAAATTAAGTATTCTTTTATTAAACTTACTTCACTGCTGCTATAACACTCCGGTGTATAAATGACATCGACTTCCTTCCTCCTCATTTCTTCCATCTCTTCTTCTCCCTCCTCCCTCTTTTCTTCTTCATATTTTTTCAGTTCATCGTACTTTTTTTCTACATAGCTCTTCATCTCTTTTATTTCCCCTTCAATTGGGCTCCTTCATCCGAGTATTTATCAACCACCCCTCACCCCCGTAAGTTCACTCCTCAAATCCACAACCTCCTTCACCACTCCCTCAAATTTTTCTCCCGTCACCATCTTAATATCACCCTTAACACCCCAACTTCTTTCACCACTTCACCCCTCAACACCTCTACTTCTTCTTCACCACTCCATCTATTTTTCCTTCCACTACCCCCTTATGCCTCTCAAGTGTATCTTCGACTCTATCGAGTTTCTCTACGACTCGATCAAGTTCTCTTCGACTCTTGATTGTTTGCATGATTGCAAATTGGATTTTTTTGATATCAGCCAATCAGACATCAAATGTCGAAGTTACTATGTTTTCCCTCACCGTGTCCCACTCACTGTCATCCCCCAATACAACCATCCCTCATTTCTTCTCCTCTGCCTCCACTGCCTCCTCTACATCCTTGCCAATAACCTTCAAAATTAAATTACAATATTAAGACATTAATTATATTCTTAATATTATTTAATTACATTTATTACCATTTCTTGCTTCTTCCCTCTATCCAACTTCAACTTCACCATCACTCTAAACCACCTCTTCCTTCCCCTATGCACGGATGCGTGCCACTCCGGTTCTTTCTAAGCCGGCACTGCCTCACAGCCCGACCAAAAATCGAACAGTGCAACCTGCATTTATAATAAAATTTATATTTTTATATAAAAAACACAAAAAAGTGATTCAACTCATTTACCTCTAAGATTGCTATGCACCCTTTGAGGTATCTCTGGCTGCCCTTTTTAAAGGTGATTTATTGATTCAATCAATCTCGAATGGATATTCAGCCCAATTGAATTCACCCTTCAAGCCTTCATCACAAATGAGCTTCATATATTCCTTGTTCGTGACGTATCACCCGTTGGACAAAGAAATATCCCGACAAGGTACAATAGAACTCGGGCCCTTCAGCTCATCCCCTAGTAAGATCCACTTTTGATATCCTCTTCAACTTCAGCATAGTCACCTTATGATTCAAACATATTTGGTGGCAAGTGCTTTCCAGTTCTTACTCCTACAGACTTCTATAACACTTTTGCCTTTGTTTTGTACCCCCAAGACGGCTGCAGCAGTCGATACCCCCAGAGGGAATGAATAATCACCATACTTAGCCATACATTGACTGACTCAAATTGTGCCATCAAGGATCGACACAATTCCCTCCGAATAGGTCGATCCCTTACTCCGATCAACGATCCAAAACCTATTTCTCCCAGCACATTCAACTGACACTTCTCCTTAAGGTGTTTAATTAATAATTCACCCTTTTAATGCTGCATCTTGTCGACACTTCCTACATTTTTTAACAATATATAATGTTATAGTTCTTATATTTTGTATCAACGTATTTACAAGTTTAATGAATACCTTATTTTCATGTGCTTTCCTCCGTTCTTTGTATTCTTTACTATCATTCCTTGACTGTGATGTAAGGTTCCTTTTCAGCATCACTCATTGAATTCCATTGGACCTCACATCTTTTTTCACCTAATATTAAACATAAACGTTTCTTAATCAAT